AAGGGGGGCATCCCCTTTCACGAATCACATGCAGAATTGCTCCTTATAGTATTAATACGCGCCATAGGAAGTAATGGCAAGTACCTCCCTCCAGGTTACGGTTTATGAGCACACGTCTGTGAATCGGTCGGATACGTGGAAAGAAATCATGAATGGGCGACAAGCGGGAGAGTCACTCGAGCGAGCGAGCATTACAGAAGAGGAAATCGCGTTGCGGTGTATCGCAAGTTAAATCGTCGATTACAATTTTTAATTATTTCGAGCAGAGCGTTTTATTTATTTATTTATTTATTTTCTTCTTTTCTCTCCATTCGATATCCTGTTTGATTTCTCTCTAATATTATTAACTCGTTGTATGCTCGTTACTTTTATCGCAGTTTTTAAATTGAGCATTAAGAGCGAAGAAAAAAACGTATTCCTCGTGCAATTGAATTTGTTTCGCCGGTAATGGTTTATTAATATTGTTCGAACGTAAACGAGCTCGGGACGAATTTTTTTTTTTCGTTGTAAAATTTCTTCTGGGAATTATTTTATTTTGGTTGATGGAAAGTCGGTGAGAATGTGGGGAAAGATGGTTAAAAGTAAATTTTCGTTCCTTCGGAACACAAGTGATTCTGAAAAATGTTATTAGAGTGGAAATACATTCGAGAGTTATTTAATGGTTGATGGAAAATTGATCTGCAATTTCTTAGTAGTTATATTTGTTTTAGTTTATTATTTTATATTTGTTTAATTATTCGAGTTCGTGGTATTTTACCTCGAATTCGTTACGATAAATTAATATATGTAATAAAAAAAATTAAAAAAGTTAAGTTAAGAAAATTTTATTTTTATAATTAATAGAAAATATTTTTTTAGTAGGAAGTAATCTTTAAGCACGAGGATTTTGGAAATGGTAGGACCAGGATGCGAATATATTTTGGAATAAAAAATTATTTGTGACTAGAAAATCTAGGGTTCCCTAGCGAAAATTACTTTCACAATTTTCGCTTCGCATTTTGAGACATAACGATTTTGAAAATGCCAATAATTATTTAGTAGCAGAGAAAAAATCACTTGCAAAATATAGAGTTCCCTAGCAAAAAAAATATTCCATCGATGCGAAAATAAGATTGAGATGCATTCGAGAATAAAATTGTAAAGAGTTTTTCCTTTCAATAGTTCCATTCTACGTTGAGAATGAAAATGACTTTTCTTATTATTATTATTCCAGTCCCTACAGTACATTCCCATCAACAACCGAGGCGAACCCTTTGCGACAACCTCTTCCTTCCGCCATCCTCGCGTGGAACGAGCTCGATACGATGGAATCGGTCGAGCCTAACTGATTCTCAGCGGCGAACCTACTCTCGTATGCATTCCCATGCTCGATATCCTTATTTTCCTCTCTTTCTCTCTGTCCCGCTCCGTGGCTCGCCTTATTCGGACATGTCAAGCTAACCTCCTCCCCCTCCCCCTCCTCCTCCACCTCGTGCACCGACGAGTTACAAGTGCGCCTCGTGCATAGGCGTCGTGCGCGCGCCTCTTTACGTTGCCTCTTTGTCGGCGGTGGACGAGAGGAGAGTTTCTGCTTCACGTCGTTATACCGTTGTTTTCCGTGCGGCTGGCCGAGTCCACGCGAGCGCTTAAATATCGGTGGTAAAACCCTTCACGGTCCGTTTCCCTCCTCGAGAAACGAATCCTCGAGCGAGGAGGAGATAATGATGGTGGTGGTGGTGGTGGTAATCCTTTGGACGCATGCGTGAACAGTAGCCTCGACGATACACGAAAGTGACGTACGATGTAATATTTTTCCAAACTGGTTTCGAGTCGAGTCGAATCAAAATTTTCTTGCACGCGTTTTTTGCGAATTATAGTTTCGAATTGAAACTGGCTTTATATATAACTTTCTCCGATCCATTCCCGTTATTAATCGTTATTCACCTCTCTCAAAATTTCATCAATCCTGTTGAATCGAATTCGAATATATCTCGTATAGACGGACAAGTTTTGGCACGAGGGAGAAGCGTAAGGATTCTTAAGGTATCCGCGAATCGGTCTAATAGAAGGTGAAACGGTGGAAGAGTCGGTGTTCGGGACAATGGAGGCATCGAGGAGGTACGCGAAACCATGTCATTAGCGCAGCACCAGAACACGTGCCCCATTATACTCGGTCTCTGCCGACCGAGGGTCGCTCGACAAAGGCTTTCCTTGTTTCCACAGTGCAAAACTTTCCGCCGCTCCTCCCTCCCTCCCTTTCCCCTCGTCTTTTTTCCATCTCCTTTCCAGTAGGAAAACAATGAATGGAATTATTGACGCGTGCAACTTTCGAAAAACGCAGAGATACACGCGAAAACGAGCTTTTTCCTCTTTCTGCGTTCGCCGACGGGGAGGAGGGGGGGGCGGGAGAAGGGGAAGAGGAGAGGGGAGGGGAGAGATGTTGCTATCTTTTTCAACGGAGCTCCAGGGTGCAATGCACGCGAGCAACAAACCCCCTTTCAAGAGAGATACAGAGGAGAGAGAAACCGGTGTACTCATCGCGCCTTTTCACGCGTGCATAATTCGCTTGCACGCGTCCAATGGAGGCATCATCTCGTACAAGGGGGCGAGAATATCGTATTTTTATATTCGCTACTCGATAATAAATTAGATTAGATTATGGATTATCGATATCGCGTTCGATCGAAAGAATTTGATATTTCGTTCGGGGCTTTGTGTCGCGATGAATCGATCGAAATTTTCAAAAAAAAAAAGTCTCAAAAATTTTTCTACGAAAAAAATCGATGAAAAACGAAAGAGAGATTAAAAATAAGAAAATTTTAGACAGATTATTAGAATTGATAATTCTTTTGAAATTTTTTTTTGTAAATCAACAACTACGGCATGGAAAAAAATCTTTTATGGTGTGGTAATATCGAAACGCGTTTCGAAACGCGATATAATTTACGCAAGTCGAATTGATTACGGTAATTGTCCAAAGATATCCGGCCCGCGCGGAAACGTCGCTTATAATTCTGACACTCGTTCCTCTCAATGTTTCCGCGCTCCACCTAGCCTCCACGATCTACTTTTACGATCGCCAATTGCGCAACACACCGTGTCGTAGAAGTTTATTTAGACTGCGATTAATGTATATATAATAACCGTCTATAAAAGATCGATGCAAATTTATTTCAACGATAAATCGACGGTTTGTTCCACCTTAATGCCGATGGAACTGCCTTTGATGCGTATCTAAATATATTATATATATATAAATGAACTAGTAATGAATGTGACGTGTAATAAAAATAAATAACTATATCTAGTTATATATATTTCCATCTCGATAAAATAATGCAGGATAACGAGCTACTTAGAAGCTGATCAATTTTATTGTTTATTATCAAAAATCATTTGAATTCTGACCTCAAAAGTTAAGTATTTTTGAAAATTAATTTATAAGTGACTCGTATTAGATTATATAGAATTATATATAGATCTATAACATGTATTTAAATATGTACAGAGTTTTTAGATAGGCAATGATGGAACGATAGAAGATCGTAGAGATACAATTGTTCAAGTTATTTTTTTGATAGATTCGAATTGATGTTAATTAATCTACACGTCGTTTATCATACCGCGGATAATGAGCTACTTAAAAGCCAAGCTGACCAACTTTATTGTTTATTATCAGAAATCATTCGAATTTCTAACCTCAAAAGTTACATATTTTTGAAAATTAATTCATAAGTGACTCGTATTATAGTATATCGTAGTTTGACGTGTTATAGTTGATCGACTGGTATATCATAGATTGTGTATCTCAATTTTAACACTAGAATTATATATAGATCTACAACATGCATTTAAATATTCGCATTATTAAAACCAAAATTTTATCAAGAGTATCTGCAGATTCCTTATGCTTCCAATGAATATTACTTATTATTTACCAGAACTTAAGGAATAATTTATTTTAACAAAATTTCAACACGAAATTATCGAAAATACATATCTTCCGAATTTTTAATAATAAACTTTAAGAAGAATAATTATTTTACAAATCCCCTATTTCGAATTCCATTCCAAAAAAAACTAAATCAGAATTTTATTACTTTTTTAACTTCGAAAAAGAATCTCAAATCTCCTTTCCTTTCGTTTTACGGTCAACCGGCCGATGGGTGAAAACCGCGGCGATGGGAAATTGGCGAGCAAACGGACTCTCGTGCGCGCGAAACGAAACAAAGAAAAAGAGGAGTAGCGCTTTTTTCCTGCGCTCGCATTGTGCTTGGGAGTGCATTAAATACGTGGGAGTCCGCGGCACGGAGATATCTCTAGTAGGTTACAGGAAGTGGGATTCGAGTACCTTGCGATTTCACTATTGGACACTCGAGGCGCTTGCCTCGAGATGTAACGAGATGTACTGGTGCGAATTCACGCCCACGCTCTCCAACCGTTTATTCTCGCTCCGATCTGTTTTATTTCTTTTGTTTCTTAAATCGAAACGCTTCTATCCCTTGATCGTATTCGATTCTTAATTTCCATTTGTCCTCGAAATAAACGATGAATCTGATAATTGTTACAATTGATATATCTTCTCAAATTACATTTGAGAGTATGAAAATTGTTGAAAAAACATTTCTCAAAAGATTTATCATTAAATTTGTTGTTTCTAACTTGGTATTTGTGACTCGTATTATAACTATTTATATTTGCATTATTTTCGTGAAAGAAAATTGTTCTCAATTTTTAGAACTTTTCTCGGATCATACATGATGAATACAGTAAAATAGAATACAAAGAAACGAATTTGGGTGGGGGGGAAAAAAATAATTGAATTACCTTTTTCTCGAATGCTTTTTCGAAATGAGTTAAGATACTACATCTAATAAGATCAAAAGTACTTCTCTGAAGAATTAATTGATAAATTAAACGAAAATTTATTTTTTTTTCCATATATAATCGAAAAAAAAAAAAACATTTTTAGAGCGTATCGAGAAGGGGATTTTTACTTTCAATGCCTATTTTCGTTTCAGACACGCCTCTGTCACCAATGGGGCCGTCGTCGCCGAGTCAGGAGGGTCTATTCACGGATCTTCGCCTTTTGTCCTTGGAGAAGCAGCTCAATATCGAACTCAAGGTAGACATCGTTTCGAGAAAAATAGGGAGCGAAAACAAAAGGGGATGGATATAAATTCGATCGAGCATCGACCTCTTTTCCTCTCTTCGCTGAAAAAATTATAATTTTAAATTACAGATCGATTTAAATTAATCGTAAGATAAGATTTTAAATAGCAGTGAATAGCAGTATTGATGGGAATACTTGAAAAAAAAAAAAAACGAATATTATAATTATCGCTTATAATCGACACGATTATAACCTCGTATTTTAAAATTGCAGGGCTTATCCAATATCCACCGACCAGAATATCTTAATATCGTGCATAATGACAGCAGGAGGATATTTCCTATCGCGAATGATTACAGGGAGACATCACAGTAACAGTTCTCGTTGCGTGAATCAGCAGAATGAATCGTCAGGATTTTTCTCTCTCTCTCTCTCTCTCTTTCCTAAACTAAAGATAGCTTCTCGTTTCGTCATACGTTAATCGGAATAGCAAGCTTTGAACTTATTTTATTTCTTTATCTCTATCTATTTGTAACATCAATTTGATTGTAAACGGATTCGAGTCAAGAATAATATTGTTATTATTTAAATCTTTTGAATCTAGTTTAGTCTGATAAATTGTGGAAAAATAAGAATAAATTTTTTATCAACTTTGAAAGAGAAGATAGATAGATGGAGGAAAATTCTGCTAGTTTAAAAAAATATTTAATGTTTAAAAGAGTTAACGTAATAACCTTTGATATTCGGAATCGATTTCTTCGAATTGTTAATATTTTAAACTTTCGGTTGATAATGTATTTTGGTCAATGATAAACATTCATGCTAAGACCTCATTGCGTCGATTTCTGACTCACGACACCAAATCGAAAGCTAAAAAGAAGGAGAAGAGGAAGAAAAGACGAAAACATTTTAGATAATTTCAATAGAAAAAATTGTTTGGCATTCAGCCAAGCTTGGGAATGTCAACGAATTTTCAATGTCCACGCAATCGATATATATATATATATATATATATATATATATGTATAGAATCGTATCCCTACGTCATATTGCGCGATCAGTTTCATGTAATAGGTTTATCGAGCTGGTGAATACTTACAATGTTTAGAAAACGCGTAGTCGTTTATCAGATCTTGGCGTGAAAAGACAGCAGCAAGAATGCCGAAATTTTCCTTCAAAAAGGTGAACCATTCTCGATTTAGAGGAAAAACTATATTACTAGTAAATTGTAATATCACTGGAATTAAATATTTTTTTTAGTAACTTCATAGTGATGTAACTCTAGTGATACAAGTGAATCACAAGTGTCTTGATTTAAAGAGTATAAATAATATCGTTGAAACTATAAAAATAGTGATTTAGTTTTGCATCGAATTCAAGTGAAATAGATAAACGCTTTAAACGAATAATTTTTAATTTAAAAACCGAAAATTAAAAATTTTACAATATTATTAGGCAAAATTATAATGTTACTAGATGGATCACTGGAATTGGTATTGAATTCAAGTGAAACGGATGAATCATTAATCCAACTATAATCCCCTCAATTTAAAAACCATAAATTATATAATATCGTTGGATTATATTTTAACTCCATAGTGATTTGTCTTCCCTGTTGTGAAATTGCAGGTGAAACAGGGGGCGGAGAACATGATCCAGAGTTTGACGAGCGGAAGAGACAAAAAGTTGCTGCAGGAGGCTCAACAAATGCTCGACGATTCTCGCGCTAAAATCGAGTTCCTACGTATGCGAATAATGAAAGTGCGGCAAGCACGTCAACAACAACACGCGCGAGGCGATGCGCCACCGCCTAATGGCGAGACGACTAGCAATAAAGGTACAAAATTGTACCGTACCTTCGCCCGATATCGAGAATGTGTGAGAATTTTTAATTTAAGGCGAGGGATTATTCACCACGCAAGGACGTAATTATTGGCAATTAAGTTTCATCGTGTCGTGAATATATTTATAAGCGATACGAGTCGTCGTGACAGTCGTGTACAATGCATAGTTATATTATGTGGTATTACGCGATTTGATTGTGATAACTGGCCGAATATGGGCCACAGACCATGCGTGAAATATATAATGATAATTTAGATGGAAGTAATGAGTAATGTTTATGGAAATATTACACTTTCTCACGGTTGAGGAGCAACTTTTGCAACGTTTAAATTTGATAAATTTGATCTTTTTTGTTATTACTTTTTCATTACTTAATGCTTTAAGTTACCAGTGATTGCATAAATCTTGCGATGATCTCTCTTACGTGATTTCTTAAGATACATCATAGATATTGTATTTAATATTTTATATTATAATTATGTGCACGATTTTTTAATTATAATTTAAAAATGCTTGTGGCATCATTGATCGATTCTGTTAAATTTCACGTATTTTATTCTATTTTATAGAACGGATATAGATAAAAGAGTAGATATTGAATTAATCCATTGAATATCTCGTATAATATCTCTCATAATTCATTGATAATAGAACAATTATTAGATCATATAAATTGTAACAATGAACGTTATTTTAAAATAATTTGCTACTTGTATATCGTAAAAGCAGTAAATATTTACATATTTATATACATATTAGAAGTATAGTTAGTGAAATAAGTTATACTTTACGTAACTGCACATACACCTTTTATCTCATCGATTTGAAATTCATTACTCACTGAAAAAAAAAAAAAAAAAAAATAATATATACATATTGATATTATTTGAAGGACAGTCCATTCTCGCGTGACGCAAAAACAATCTTGCTTTCAATGTATAGATATCGAGTTATCACACTCTAGTTCTATTAAATCATCCATCCGTTCGGAATTTCCTATACTTTCACGTACTTTCAATTTTCATTCCCCATAAAGAAAAATCGTTCGAGCGAATATAAAACATTGTCACTCGACTCGCCGTGAGAATAATAATCGTTACATAACTCGTCCAATATATATATATATGTATGTATGTATGAAAACCATGATGGATAACTTTCTAATTACAGACAGGTACGAGCCTAGTTTGGAGTTAGCGTTGGAGGAAAGGGTGGAGGAGCTACGACATCGTTTACGAATCGAAGCCGCGGTTGTGGAAGGGGCTAAGAACGTGATACGTCTTTTACAAAGTGCCAAAGTCGCCGATAAGAAGGCCTTAACGGAGGTATGTATCATTTCCTGTTCAATACACGCGTTGATACGATGCCTGCGCCATATTGGAAATATATATATATATACACGTCGTGTAATGAAAAGCTTTTGTATCGTTTGTGTACACGTTGTACCCGGATACGCCGTCGAAAGAGAGCTATTGATAGGTATATTCTACTTAACAGACGCGTCGTCCCTTTGAAAGCCGCGTGTATCATTGTACAGCTTTCATACAGCCGCGCCAAGAATATTCATTCCCATCGCTTTCCATCTATAAAATCTCGTTCGAAGTCGGATGTACCGCGGAAATGAAATCCTGTTTCGTTTGAAAACGAAAGAATTGGATTCATTCGATAGATTAACTCAAAAAAGTAATGGAAAAAGGGATAAAAAACAAAATAAATAATATTCTCGTAAAAAACGAGAAAAATTGTATTATGGACCAAAATATATATAAAATATATAAATATATATAATAATATTATATTTTAATATAATAATTAATATAATATTATTAATTTATATATATATATATATATATATATAACCAAAATTCGTCATGAAGATTAATGATTGTTCGTAAAACGTGGACACGAAGCTCGTCATTCTGACGTAAGTACCATTGTGTCTACGTAAATCGAAACGAGAGAAACGAGAATTCGCCATATGGGTGACTTCGATATCTCGTGTATCGAAGTCGAGTGAACGCGTTCGACGTAAACGACTACGTCGAGTTTGAACGGGCAGTGGCGTATACGCCACCGGTTCTCGAAATAGAATTGCCTAATCCCCGCTACCCCATCGTCTTTCTATGACGCCTTTTCGGGTCGCGCTTAGTTACCACTTCTCGAGGGGAGAACCCAGTCGTAAGCAACGCGATAAACCAACGACATGTGCGCCAATCAACCGCGAACCGACCGCTCAACAAATGTCTGTATCAAGTACTCGGACATTCCTGGAGATATTCGTAGATAATTCACACTACCGCCAATAACAGTCACAAACTATGACCTGAATATACCGAAGACTGACACGATATTCCACCCAGAGTCGTACTACCGTTGGACGTCACTACTCTTCTGCGTACGATTCTGATACAACACATATTTCGAGAAGACTGACGTGTCTGTTCCGCGAGATATCGAAAGGAATACAGCTGTGAATGCGGGGAGAAAGCGATTTAAGAAAAAGCTCAAAAAAAAAAAAAAAAAACGAGTTCCTAGTTTTCAGAGAGAACGTCGAAAAGCTCTCTTCCGTGAAGCACTTTAAATTCCAAGGAATAGAGGATGGACTGACAGAAATAGAGGATGTTGCACGTTGAATAATTATACGTTCGTCCGGAGGCGAGAGCCACTTTACTTTGATCGAGTCTGTTTCGTTATTCGAGGAGTCGAATGAGATAAAGACAGGAGAAAACGTGCATTTATTCAGACTGGTTAATTGGATAGTATTTTTAAATTTTTTTTTTTTTTCTTTGGACGTTTTCGTTACGTCGACGTGGGTGACGTATCTGTCAGTAGAGGCTAATCTTATACAGCGAATGGTATTAAAAGTTTCATCTGGTTCCAGGTATATTTGGTACGACTGTACGTTGCTCCAAATTTATATTGTGCTAATTATACCTTGGGACGCTGCTCTAACGTATGGTTTGTCACCTTACGAGAAACGAGCAAACTCGATGGTAACTAAACTCGATATTCCAGATACATTTGTGCACTCCGATAAATTCAACTGAAAAGAAAAGTGCTCGTACAAGAGTGTGATAGTTAATTGATATTATTATTAAATAATTTTTTAAATAATTAATAAAAAGAAGCGCTTGGATCTTAAGAAAAGTGACTCCTCTACGATACAAGAGTCTATTTTATAATTTCGATACGTAATATCGATACGACAAGAGATTCTGAAATCGCTTGAACACAGTATAACACTGATGCTGAAAATAGATGACGGAGACGCAGTATCGCAGAATTGCCGTCTTTCCGCGAGTAACTATGTAATATATGTACGGATTTGTGAAATACTCTCCGAAAATATTTTCGTTCGCATCGAGGGCGTTCGATCAATTTTTATAACAAATTACGTAATAAAAAGTGGCCAACGGATCGTCAAATAGCTGAATGTAATAAAATTCAACGGAAACAAGTAGAATAGTGCTTCCATCTTTCGCGAAATCGATCGACCGTTCGAATGTGCAGCGGAACGACACTGAGAAAAGAACGACGACGGATTTTCTTCGCAAGGGAGGCGAAAAACAGTTCTGCGAATGGATCTTCGCAACGAAATCGATTAAACGCTCGGGACGATGATGTTTTGCGGTGGATAACAGCGTGGAGAAGGTTGAAAAAAAAGGTGCGACATGTACGGGCGTCAAGGCGATTCGAATAACACGCAACCACCATGGTCGGTGCGTGCAGAAGTTACGATTCGCCATAGTACACCGGTAACCTCGGAATCTAGTCAAGTACCTGTAGGTATATCTTCGACTGTCACGGATTCGGGCGGTGTTCGTATGATATATCGATGGAATACTACCAGTCAATCGTCTCCATCAACGCCGACAATTCCAGTCATCACGACTTCCGGACCATCCGTATCTTCTGGCTCGTTTGGCTTTCAGCGAGGAAACATATTGTTCACTTCGACACCACCACCAAAAACCGCACAAGGATCTTTCACGATTCCACGATCAGGACCGTCTGGAAATGATGAGCATACGCCATCTAGAGGACGTGGCGCGAACTTCTCGGATTCAGGCTACAACAGTGAGCGATTTTCACCTAATTCGTACTCTAGTTTGCCTGTTCGTCGACCTTCCCAACAATATAATCGTCGATGCAGGAGCACGTGCAGTATTGTACTGTCCGCTGTGGACAGTGCAGATGGTTCAAAGGGAGAAAACTACAGCAAAATAACCAGCAATGAAACTGTCAAACATTCGTATGACAATTCTTGGCGCCATCCCTCGGCGTATGTTTTCTCGCGGCAGCAATTCACCACAGTACCAGAAGTTTGCGAGGACTGCCCGGAAGATGGCGCTTCCAGTGCACATGGAACGCATTTTTGCAGTAGCGTAAAAGAGGAAGTTACAACAAAATCGACCACGATCAGCAAAGATGCATCTTCGCAAACGACGGATATAGAATCCCGAGAATTTTCGTCGATAGTCGCTGATAAAAACAAAGTGAGAAGGAGAGCTGCTACTGGTCTCCGTTCATTGGACGAGCAGAAGAAAAAGAAGGTAAATTGTTTTCTTTAGTTTACAATAAATCTTAATCGAAAGTTCTTAATTCTAAATTCTATATAGTAAGTTGTTAAAATTCAGCCAGAGACTTACAAAAGATAATTCTTCAAATCTACAGAAGATAGTATTTATTGTTTATCTTCATTATCAACTAATTCCGTTCAAATAACTGTAATCATGTAAAAACTAGGAATATGATGACCTTTTTCATTGATCGATCCTAAATTTTTCGACTTAAGATGTATTGTAGATCGACTAAATTTTATTTCTATGCGATAAATGAACAATTTTATATCGGAAATATCTGATTTTAGCCAGAAAGTCGATCGCCAACCACAGCTTCAGAGACCACAAGCATCGGTCCTTCAGCGGAATCGGAAAAGTCTGATTCCTCGACGAAAGATGACAGTGCGAAGAAGAAATCACGAACCGTGCATATCGACGTGTATTGCACCGGGTCTGATGACGACGAGAATGTCGATACATCGAGTGAAAACGAATGCGAAACTCCTATGACCGTGTTCGAAAATCCAGACGTGAAAGTGACACATACTCAGGTAGGGAGTAACGTTTTGCCCAGGGGATTTCAAGATGACAAGGCTTTTCTGAAACGTGCCACGGAACGACGATGTGACAGCTTTAAACACGCACCGATGAGAATGCCCTCTATAGCCAGTTCAAAAGGTTACGATAGTGACGATGTTTTCAGCTCACTTTATCCTTCGCAATTTAGTTCTTACAGTGCTTTAAGAGATCCTGATTCGGTGCCTTGGTCTGCTGCGTCTTCCAATGTGGGTATTCCATTCGATTATGATTCGACTATTGCTACCTCGGCCAAAGATACATTGTCTGACATAGAATCTTTGATAAACACTAAAACAGACTTAACCCGTTGTGATAGTTTCGAGTATGCTAGTAGCACCGATCGTGAAAGGATACGCAAAATGGAGGAAATATGGGCCAAGGCAGAGGACAAAGAGAAGCATTGGCGTTCACCGCAAGTCGAGCGTAAATATTTGTTACGGAATCGAAAGATGAGAGAATATTTAAAAAAACACGAGGTAGGATGGTCGTCGGGTGACAGTGACGAGGAATCTGATGAGAGCGGTGCCATTGGGTGGAGTTTTATGTCTGGCGAGGAAAATCAAGAAGGAATTAAAAAAACTTCGTCCTTTCGAAGAGCGAGTAAATCTATCGCTGAAGATGGGGAAAGGAACGCATGTATAATGGAAAAAGAACTTTCGAAGCAAAAGAATTCGCAACAGTATCATTCTGATTCCACGCATAGCGACAGTATTCCACATATGTATACTTTTCGTGATCAAATCGGCTTATTCGGTTCCAAGACTCCTTCCCCTCTTCCATCAAAAGTACCTTCGAGAGTTACTTCTCCATTTATGACGTCTCAGGGTGAAAGAACCGACCATATTTTGAAAGCCTCTATATTCGGTGCAGTGGTGAACGCATTTCGAAAGCCAGGCCATCATATAGGACCTTCCAAGAATCCTTCGTGTTCCTGCGAGCATTGTCAAAGATATTTCGAGGAATTGAATTCACGAGAACGTTCGCGTTCTATAAGCGATTTCGAACGACAAATGGGATTTCGTTTAAAGAATGAAAAAAGGATATTTCGTCCGATCCCGAAAAATGACAATTCTTAAGACTTGATATTTCATTAATATGTTTTTGAAGGTTTTTTTTTTTTTTTTTTTTTTTTTTTTTTTTTTTTTTTTTTTAAATAATAGTATATATTTTATGTTTCACGATGAAAATTCATTGAAACTATCATAAAGGTTGTGTTTTGTAATATATAAACGTGTGTTAAGTTATATTTATTGAGTACAATATCGTATTCCATACTCATTATCTTTTTCTATTTATGATTGTTATAAATTGCTAAAACATTCTGCTGAATATAAAGCATTTATGTAAGCTAACAAATAAATACAATTATTTATGCTGTTAATGCTGTTAATAAATGTTGATTATATTAGTAATCACACTTGAATCAATTATTTCTACCATTATAAAAATTTATTCAAGTTTACGTTTCGTTTTTTTTATCATCTTTTGAATTACTTCAGGCTCAAGCAAGTCTTGCAGAATCGAGTAGAAAGTTGGATCTGCTGAGATTATCCCTTGAACTCAGAAGACAAGAATTACCACCTGACAGTGGTACTGCTGCTCAATTGAAGAGAGAATTGGCTAGTGTGCAATCAGCTAGCCCGGTTCCTGTAACTTACACGTCGTTACAACCATTTCGCGGCCCTCTGGAGGGTAAAGCTACGGTGCCTGCTTCGGTTTCAAGATGTGCTGCCGTTACTGGACAATTAGAGGTAATTTAAATAATGATAATCTCGTGTAATCTTTATGCGATGACAAATGAATATATTCACTTGAAATTTTAGGTAAGGTTAATGGGATGTCAAGATCTAGCGGAAGAAGTGCCTGGTCGCACAAGAAGAGAACATCCAGCAAGTCCAGATCTACGCAGTTTTGTTAAAGGGGTTACAGGACGTAGTTCGAGCAAATCGTATAGTGTTAAAGATGAAACAAGTAGTGAGTATTTTTTTTTTTTTTTTTTTTTTAGGAATTACATAATATTATAAAATTAGGAATTGAATGTTAAAATTAATTTCTCCTTGTATGTTACAGATGATATTATGGCAGTTATTAAACTGGACAACCAAACAGTAGGACAGACTAGTTGGCGACCGTGCTCTCAACAAGCTTGGGATCAAAGGTATTTTTTTATATCGTATACAATATTATTTTTGTGAGAGATATCATCTGTATATATTATCATTTTAAAGACATTATATAAATATGTCAAAATATATGCCTACATCATTTTTGTAGGTTTTCCATTGAACTAGATAAGTCGAGAGAACTTGAAATAGGCATTTATTGGAAAGATTGGAGATCTCTTTGTGCTATAAAATTTTTACGTTTAGAAGAGTTTATCGATGATGTGAGACACGGAATGGCTCTGCAATTGGAACCGCAAGGTCTTCTTTTCGCGGAAATTAAATTCTTGAATCCTATGATTTCGAGAAAACCTAAATTACAACGTCAACGCAAGATCTTTAAACAACAAGTGAAAAATTTCCCAAGAGCTAATCAAATGAACATCAATGTTGCAACTTGGGGTAGACTTTTGAAACGATCGGCAGCTCCTTCATTGCACAATTCAAGAAATTCTGAAAGCCCACCATCAGGTACAATTATATATTCTTGATTGTGTCCTTTACAAATTTTAACGTTGTACAAATTTTTATTTGTAGGCCCACAACCTTTACAACTTGTTTTTGATACTTCGGTAGAAGATAAACCGGAAACACCCGGAGAGTTACCTGATCCGGAGAAAGGAGGCTTAGGAGGCGCTAGACCATTAGGATTATCGACTTCTAGTAGTCCTACATTACCACGTCCTCCAGAACATCCACCACCTCCACCACCCACAATTACAAAAAAACCTTCAATGCCCGCACCTCCACCACCACCAAAATTAGATCAAGAAGTAAGTTATATGAAATTTATATTATCTTTTAAATTTTTTTTTCTTTCTGTTATATTTATCAAAGTGTTATATAGAAGAGAGTTCCTATTAAGTTTTACACTATATTGAACTATATTGAACCTTCTTAGCGATATCATAATTATCCATCTTGTTATAAAGTATTTTGAAACTATCTAGTATTTTCTTTTACTTGAAAGGTTTAGGGATTGGTACACTGGTTATGGGTAAAAATCATGTAGAACTCATACAATATATTATACATAGATAATTGAATCGATATATTGGCTAATATTTGTACATAGTATTATATATTTTGTCAAGGCATGTTAGAATACTTGATATATTGTCAATTGCGTAAGATATTGCTTCGAAGATAGCTATAAATATATCTTTAATATAGTAGTATTATAATAGTAATATTATAATAATATTATAATATATCTTTTTAATAGTAGAACGCGATTTATAAAAGGCAATTTTTTTTATATGCTTAAAATATACAAATCTTTTATTCATTTTTTCTTTTTTTTCTTTTTTGTTAAATTTATATTATATTTTTTTAATTCTTAGCTTTTTTATGCATAGTCGTTTCCACAATGTTTAGCACCAATATGCAATGCGTAACGTGCATTGTGCAATATATAGTATCCCTTCAACAAATTTGCAGCAAACTCCCTTCAATAATTGAATCAATTTATTTTTTCAAATTTATAATATCAATTTAATAATATCTATCTTAATTCTATTACATAAGACTTTGGTACGTTACAGTTTGAAATATATTGCAATCTAAAGTAGCTTTTAGAGCTAAGCAGATAGTGATGTAGTTACAGAGTGCATTAAGGGAGTTTGATTTCCTGCACAACGAAGAAAAGGGGGGTCCTCAGGGGGCAAATTTGAGGCCTCTTGTAACAGAGCCTCGTCCTGTGCTGATTGCACCACCCTCTCCACGCACACCCTCGCCCCAACCTGTCGTCGAGTTTCCTGAAGATGAGGTATATACCTCCAATACACACAGCTTTATTTATTTACATGATTTTAATTTTTATGCTTCTTTATTACTAACATATTGAATATAAAATTGTTTTTTTAAGTTATTGTAATTTTGTTTATTAAAGTAACTTATTTTTTATTATTTTAATGGTTTTCTCATTAAAAGCATGTAATCAATTTTTTTCGCATGATCGTATTTGCATATTATGTATCAAGGCTTTATAATACTAAACTTGTAAATAACTATGTACTTTGTATGTTACATATCTATATCTTGGCCATTAATGGCGCAATACTTAATTATTCAACAGTTTTAGGTTTTTTTTTTCTCTTAAGATAGAAAAATATTAAATATAAAACATATTTTTTAAAAAAAAATACATTAATAATGTATGTATTGGATTAAAATTATTATTATTATTAACAAATATCCAACATATATGATAATTAAATAACAGCTTTCCATACTATCAATTAATATAAAAATAAGTAATATAAATGTGCAGTCATTATCTTATGATAAACACGATATTTCAAGCTGAACGTTTTAATGATTATAGGTTGTATACGAAATGCCGAATAAGCCTTCTCAATACAGAGACAGTGCCTACGAATCTAGAAGACATTCGCAACTTACTGGAATGACCATAGATAATTTTAGACTACTCTCTGTTCTTGGCCGCGGTCATTTCGGAAAAGTAATTCTATCGCAATATAGAAATACAGGAGAATACTTCGCAATAAAAGCGTTGAAAAAAGGAGACATAATAGCGAGAGATGAAGTAGAATCTTTACTTTCAGAGAAGAGAATATTTGAAGTCGCCAATGCTACACGTCATCCTTTCCTTGTAAATCTTTTTGCTTGTTTTCAAACTGAGGTATATATCTTTTTAATTATTTTTAAAATAAATTTTTTGATCAGAATATCAGTATTAAATTTTTATTTCTATAGGCACATGTGTGCTTTGTAATGGAATATGCAGCTGGAGGAGATCTTATGATGCATATACACGCGGATGTATTTGGAGAGCCACGAGCTGTATTTTATTCAGCTTGTGTTGTATTAGGGTTGCAATATTTGCATGAAAGTCGAATTATTTATCGGTAGATATTTAAATAATCATACGATTAATTTATATCAAATATATAAATAATTATATCAAATAAATGACGATAATTTCATTCAATTTACAGAGATTTAAAATTAGATAATTTATTATTGGATACAGAGGGATATGTAAAAATTGCGGATTTCGGTTTGTGCAAAGAGGGAATGGGATATGGAGATAGAACAGGAACATTTTGTGGTACTCCAGAATTTTTAGCTCCTGAAGTGCTTACTGAAACATCATATACGCGGGCGGTTGATTGGTGGGGTCTTGGTGTATTAATATTTGAAATGCTTGTTGGTGAAGTAAGTAATATTCAATTTTTTTTTTTAATTATATATGATAATTATTAATTATATATGATAATTACTAATTATTGCTCTTTTATATAGTCACCATTTCCTGGTGATGATGAAGAAGAAGTATTTGATTCCATCGTGAATGATGAAGTTCGTTATCCGCGGTTTCTTTCTTTAGAAGCAATTGCGATAATGCGGAGGGTAAAATATTAATTTCTTATATACATATATATATTTTATTGATAAATATTGAAATAATTTTCTTATTTATTTTCTTATTTATTAAATATAGTTATTAAGGAAAAATCCTGATAGAAGATTAGGTAGTAGTGAAAGAGATGCAGAAGATGTTAAGAAACAAGCATTCTTTAGGCATATAGCTTGGGATGATTTACTTCTAAGACGTGTAAAACCACCATTTGTTCCAGTAATTGTAAGTATTAATTATTTTTAATTATTTTTTTTATGTTGATAAGAATATTCAATAAATATTATACTTATATTATATTTGTGTTTCAGCATTCTGTGGAAGATGTCAGTAATTTTGATGAAGAATTTACATCAGAAAAACCTCAATTAACTCCACCTAAAGATCCTAGACCACTTAGTGATTTAGAACAAAGTCTATTTAAAGATTTTACGTATATGGCTGATTGGTGCTAGCCATAATTATGTTAATCATTTTTTTGTTAAATTTGATACGCAAATTATTTAGCGTTTTAATATATTTTCAATTTTAGGGGCAATCAAATCGCAATTAATAACACCGATGATTATATATTTGTTTAATTTTCAAAATATGTTCCACATTTCATAATGTTATGTATTGTACAGATGTTTTATTTTTAATATCATGATATAATCAGACATATAGAATTAAAAAAATTATGTTCAACAACATACGAATCTCAGGTTTTTAACTAATATGTATGAATGTCAGATTAACTTGTAGTTATACATTTATCACAATTGTTTCCAATATATAAATAATTATAATTATTTGACACACTTGAAGTAATCAAGTGGAAGACCAGCAGTAAAACATAAATTGTATAAGCACTTTTATAATATGTTAATATTTTGATATAAAACTACAGTTTGGAACCTAAATTTATAAAGATTTATATCATTTAATTATAAATCATTAGATCTCATAATAATGATTCAAAATATTGACCAAATATTCGAAAGAATATTTATTTGAAATTTTGACTACTTTTACTTAGCACATTCATTTTTATGTATAGTAATTATTTTACAAGTATTCTACGATCATTCATTTAAAATAAAGAATATTTACTGTATAAAAATATATGATTCATAAAGTGCAGAAAATAAATCAAAACATAGTTATATTAGGTGCTTGAAAAAGTTTTAATAAATTTCATTATAAGTAGACTCCATTATTTTACAAAAAAAATGATTATAAAACAATGATTTTATAATTGATTTTTTTTTTTTTGTAAAATAATTATTTTTTATTTATAATGAAATATAAAACTTTTAAATGCACTTAATATTTGCTCATGCTCATGTGATAGTGAATTGAATGAAGAAATGGCACTATGTATAACAGTGTTGATCTATATAATCACAAGAAAACACTGGGCGCTTTAATTATATTAGTCATGTGTACCTAATCATTAATACGACCAGAAATTAAGACCAGTTGTTACATTTAATTTGACAATTTAACTATATCAATTTTTCTTAATCAACAATTTTTGCAGGTTTAATTCCTATAATCTCCTTTATCCATTTGTATGCATTACATAGTTACTTATTTTCATGTTTTCAGTATGTGATAGAATACTTGTGGTGTTCTAGTGCTATACCTTGTAAATATATAACCAAACATTGAAAAATAATAATTCATAAGATTTATGAATACAACATAGTTTAGTCTGATATCTAACACTGTATCGGACATAATATCCCAAGTTCATATTTAGCATACTGTTAATAATTATATTTACATTTACATATTTTTTATTCTAAACATCACTACAATTTACTCATATTTTTTAAATATATTTTTGGTTTTGTGAATGAGTATGAATATCTTATACAATCATCACAAATGTATACATTATATGTTACTTATATTTGATAGTGTTTTGTACTAACATTATATCAATGTCATTTTAGAAATTCTTTCTTTCATATTATATTTGAGCTTATTTAAAACAGTAAATTTATTATTTCCGCATAAATTATTTTCAAAAATATTAATAACAGTATATAATACATTATTTAACATTAAGAATCACATGCATATAATAATAATAATTTATCTTGTAACAATATTATTGATTCATGAAGTTTGTTCATTTAACAGTTGCAAATTTTATGTATAAAAGAATTTTTTAAATGGAACCTATTACAGTATTTTTAAAATTATTTATAAATTTAAATTATACTTTTGTAAAACAATATTTGTTTAAAATATATCCAAAAAAGAATAATATAAATGGTTGATTATTAATGATTAGATTATTGTGATAGCAATATCAAATGGTTTCATTTGAAATTTTCTTATATTTTAATTTTAGTCATATAAGCTTGAAATCATTAATCATATTCTTAAAAACAGTATTTAAAATTGTAAAACAAAAAACTAATCATGTCATTTGTGATAGTTTCGAGTACATCTCGAATTCTAGTTGCCTTAATGCACTAATAAATTAATAACCGTTTGGTAACTATTTTATACAGAGACCTTGTATATTAGAAATGAAAACCTATTTACAAAGGTGCTCATGTAACACATTATTCCTAATGTGCCTGTTTTTATACAGTTCTCATATGTAGATCTTAAAATCTAGTTAAATAATTATGATACATGATTTTAGTTAAAATATATACAAATATTATAATTATATATCTTTACATTGTATAATGGACAAGAAAATATGGGAAAATATAGGAACATTTGGATATTTATTTTCGTTGTCTATTAAACATTTCTATTTAAATAAAAATAAAATATTATAAATTGGATTAAATTTTCAAAATATTCGTAATAAAAATAAAAAAAAATATATTGTTTTGTTAAAAATTAAAGAAAATATTTATTTTTATATTTTATATTTAAAACATTATATTTTCATGTGTTGAACTGTCAAACAACACACTTTAATAAAAAATAAGTCACTTTTTATTAATCAATATTTTCTTGTCAATATATATTAATGATATACTCTATAATATTTAAGACATATATATATATATATATATATATATATATACATATACATAAATGGTAGATATATATATTATAAACATTTAAAAAATGTTACATTAAGATGTATACATAAGTAGCTTTTATGGAAGCAATGTTCTTTATATGTACTACGATATTAAAAATGAAGTGCGTCCAAAAAATACTAATTCAAAGATGTATATGTATGATACAAGTGTCGTAAATTTTTTTGTAGATAGATTTATTTTGAAAATTCAAAGTAGATTTATTAAAATATACTTTCGTTACGTATTTTTATACATACAAAATATCGTAACACTATTAAATTTTAACCTTAATTTAGATCGTTTAAAATATTTATCTGTAGTTAAGAATAATGAAACAGCATGTGCCTCATACTTGCAGTGTTTACTAAATCATATAGATAGTGACATGATAGAAAATGCTTATAATATATCATTAAGCAATAATTTATTTAATATTCACATTTGCAAGTGGCAGCTTAATACATATCATTTTAAGTAGTTATATATTTTTAGTAGCACTTCTAAACTTTACATATTTTAAATATATAAATAATAATTACTTTCAAATATATATAAATAATAAACATTTAAAAGAAATGTGACAATTTCATATTTTTTTAATCCTTTTTGGAAAATTTGATAGAATTAAAATATGAAGATTAAATAAAGTAATAAGTAAATAAAATAAAATTAATTTTATTTGTCTGTTATTTTATCATTATGACTTACATCAGAATCCATTACTTTATTGTTATGGCTTACATCACTATCTTCATTAGTATCTTTTTTATCTAAGGATTTGGCTAATTCATATAAATAAGAAGTATTTTTTCTTATTTCTTTTTCTAAATTTAACTTTTTTTCTTCTTTTTCTTTCATTAATTTACTTGTTTCTGGATCAATGGGTTTCACAAGACCTTTAGTAGCTTTATAAAAAATGCTTGTACTGTCTTCAAGTTTAAAAACAAAAGTTATCCTATTAGAAAATATGTAAATCAATTTATGGATTATGATTATATAACTCTTAAATTTTATTATCTATAATTTTATTCTTACTGTTCAACATTTAAACCTTCTTGTATCTTCTCTATTATTTTAAGAGAAATATTACATGATGTAGGCCAAGGTACATATATTTCTGTTTGAGAAGTTTTATTTTTTTTTACTTCTAAATATAATAAATCTAAATTTTCATTATATTTGTAATTGACTTCCCAATATCTCTTTGCTAAATATAATTAATAATTATTAGAGAAAATTAATTTGTAAATTATATTTTGATCTTATTTACTTACCTTCACATAGCTCGATGTAAACATAAAATGTTGTGCTTATCTTTATAGGATCAGTACAGCCTAATTTTCCAATATGATAATACTAATAATATTAAAATATATTAGTTTTAAATTTATTATATTTTTGAAAATTATTTAAATATTACTATACTTACACTAGGATGACATATATCATACATGCTTAACAAAAAATAACTTTCTTTTTATATAAAAAAATATGAAATATCTAAATTAATATAATTAGAAAACGATTTGAATCTACTTCAGATTCAAATAATTTTTTCATTTGAATAGAATATAAAATAAAAATATTATTTTATATAAGGTTAAATTTCTAAAATTAGTTTACATTTACATTGTACATACTTGATTTATATATAAAGAAAAATTTATTAATACAATATATGAAAAATGAAATAAATTTTAAGATAATAATGAGATAATATTAATATTAACAAAATTTCAATATCTTATACACATAACACATAAGATTTATATATATTCATATAGAATAAATATAATATACATGAAATTTGGTATCATATGACCATAGACTAGATATAAAATAGATATATCATTCACTATTTTTTTGTATCATTCAATATGTAAAAATTAAGAATAAAAGTTTACAAATATAAATAAAAGTATTTTCAGAATAATAAATTTCAGTAAATTAAAATATTATTAAATTATTTTTAAAATTAATAAATTATTTGTAATAAAAAATTTGTTAATAAGTTTAATTATAATATTATAAATTATTATATTATATTAATACAAAGTTAATAAAATATTAAAAGAATATTGAAAATTGTAATATTTTAATAATAATATATTTTAAAAATTGTATACAGACAACTACTTACGCCGTTATCGATACAGTAGTCGACGCATAACCTTGTACGCCAAGCAACAGTTACCGAGTGGGGAGACGCTACACGCCAGTTCCATTTTAACCGCGGTAGTGTTTCGACGTAGCGGAGCCATGTGTGTTTTATGCATAATTTATATGCAACAAACTTCGTGTTAAAAAAAATATATGCTTAATTTGCGAATATTAACACTATATTTATTTATATATAAATTTTTTAAACATGTTTATTTACGAATATGATAATTGATTCCATTCATTCACCCATATCTACATATTTCATCATATTTATTGAAAAATAAAAAATTTTTATTGCATCTTTCTTGATTAGTGTATTATCTATAAAAGATAAGTTGTATGTTTTTTAATTTGATGATTGGTTTACTATTTAGATGTCTAGAGGGCATAGTAACTAGAAATATTTCGATATTCGTATATTCTAATTCTTATTTTTTATTTATTTTGTAATTTAGTATATTTTTATTTAATTAATAATTTTTCCAAAATTCTGATAACGAAATTAACAAATTTAAAAAATTTTTTTATATTCTTTCCTTCGATTCTAGTCAATTTATTTGACTGTTAAGGTTATCGGTAACTTTTATTATATTATAAGCTTTTCAGTTAAGATTTCAATTCAATTATTGCTTTATTTTATTATAATTTTAATACATTTATTATACAGTTTTAATTCTTATTAGAGTTTATTATTCAATTGCACATATAATTTCGAAGAAATAATGATTTATTGTGCATTATGCATTATCATGGACGATTTTCTTGTTACATCAGGTATTTTATATCCTTTTTACAAAAATAGATGTACATAGAATTTCTACTATTTCTTTATTTATATTGAAACGAATATATAATAATTAATTTTATTTTAAATTAAATTATTTCAGCGATACGTTCTTATTTTAAATGCATTTCTTTATATTATTTATGTATATAAATATTTAATTATATAATTTTATATAATATTTTTTTTTGATTGTTTTGCTCAAAGTTGAATACATTTTTTATAGTTCAATTTTACAAGAAATTAAGCATTTACGTTTGTGCTCGATATGTTTCGATTTGTTCTTAAATTATCGAATATGCTTTTTTCCCTAATTTGTAATAATTCGATAATTGAAATCGTGCTGTGAAGCATCATTGTAGTGTTGTAGTATCGATAATTGTGGTGTTAAAATGGCATGTTTTCTTCTTGAAATATGATTGATATTTTTGAATAGTTTTACTTTCATAATTATTTTTTATCATTTGTATATTTAATTAATATGTGTTTATTGTAATTGAAAATTTTTTGAGAGGTAAAATATTCTTTTTTCTTTATTAAATCTATTTGAAGGTTAGAATTACAACTTACAATATTGTTAACTTATTAACTTATAATATTATGATTTTATAAAATTGAATTTTAGCTTAGTTATAATTTAATTTTAATATAATTGGTTATTATTTTATTTTAATATAATTAATTAATGTATATTATATAATTGATATAGTATATTTAATAAATATATATTATATATATGATTTATTGTCGAATTATCGAACGATGTCGAATTATCGAACGATGTCGAATTATCGAAATATCGAATCTTTTCTTGATTTCTATTTCGATAATCGAAATCGTGGCATTATTGCAGTGTCGATTTTAATAATTGTGGTATTAATACGCATCTTTTTCTCTAGAATCTATTCGATTGAATTAAAAATTCTTTGAGTGAATTATTTTTTTTTTTTATTCTTCATTCATACATTTGAGGGTTAAATTTGCAAATAAGTCATATTATGACTTTCTAAAATAATATCTCAGCTTGATTATCGTTCAATTTTAATGTAATTGATAATTTTTTTACTTTAATTAATATAATTGATATTATATTTATATTATATATAGGACTTGTCGAATTATCGAACATATCGAATCCTTTCCTGATTTCGATAATCGAAATTGTGGCATCATTGTAGTGTTTATAATTGTGGTGTTAAGATGCATCTTTTTTTCTCAAGGTATGTAATTGGTTTTTGGAATAGTTTTACTACTATAGCTATTTTTTATCATTCATACTTTCACACGAGTCAATTAATACATGTTTATTACATATAATTGAAGATTCTTTGAGTGGTAAATTATTTTTTTTCTTTATTTTTTATTGATACATTTGAGGGTTAAGGTTGCAAATAAATCATATTATGATTTTCTAAAATAATATTTCAGCTAGATTATCGTTTAATTATGATATAATTAATAATTATTTTATTTTAATATAATTAATTAATATATAATTGATTATTATATTTATATTATATAGGATTTGTCATCGAACTATCGAACATCGAACTCTTTCCTAATTTCGATAATCGAAATCTTTCCTAATTTCGATACTCGAAATCGTGACGCCATTGTAGTGTCGTTAATTGTGGTGTTAATACGCATCTGTTTTTCTCGAGGTATGTAATTGATTTTTCGAATAGTTTCACTTACATAGTTATTTTTTATCATTCCTACATTTATACGAGTCAATTAATACGTGTTTATTATATATAATTGAAAATTTTTTGAATGATAAATTAATTTTTTTTTATTCGTACATTTGAGGTTAGAATTACAAATAAATCATTTTCTGACTTTTTAAAATTAAATTTCTGTGTAATTATTGTTTTATTTTAATATAATTGATTTATAGAATAAAATCTATATATAGATTCATTTGAAAGTTTTCATTTTATTTTATACAGATTATACAGATTATTGGCTACTTGCTGGAATAATTTTGAAGGCGGGAAAAATTTCAATATGGACGCTATCATGCTTTTTCATAGAAATGTGATAAAATTTGATATTATGTATGTATTTATGCATTTTTATTGGATTGTTATTGATCGTTGTTAAGTAATTCATTTCTTTATTGAAAAATTTTAGTTAGTAAAATATTAGTTTAAAATTTCAGAAAAATAATATTTTCTGAAACAAAATGACTCGATAGAAAAAAGAAGAAAATATTATTTCAATATTAGTAGTCCTTTTTCGTAGTCCTATATATTAATTTTATTTTCAGAAAATTTTACCGCGCGCAATGCGGTCAATAGATTCAGTGTTTGCTTCGAAATAGTATTATCAATATTTTTTAGAGCACAACTGCTCTAATTCAATTTATTTATAATAGCCATTCGCGAAATTAGAAGCAGTGTTTTTTCGTGGATTATAATTTAAACGCGTTAATAGTCTTTTATTTATTTTTCTTTTTGTTTAAATATTCGTTTTCGTACAGGGTAGAATCAGTGCTCCTTTCAAGAGCATAATGTGAACATCCATTCACGCGAAGAGGTAATTATCTTTCTATATTTTCTATTAATATAAATTTTTATCCTTCCTCACTTAAATAATTAATACTAAAATCTACTGTATTTTGAATTAAAATATTTAATTTTTTTTACAGTTTTCATCCTCCTACTTGAAAGCTTGACGACTTCTTATGTCGTTACTACAGCATCCATGGCAGATCCTTCGCATCAAACGGTGAGTCGCATGTATTTTGATTCCTCCAGTTACTCAATCATGTCGTAGGACAAAAGGTCCGAAACGACACGGGTAACTGGTTGTATACGTAGAATTTTGCACGAGCACAGTGACCACGGGTATTCATTATACCCGTGAATAGTAACATTTTCTTTTTACGTGTTTTATTTATTAGTTCAGGCTAGGTTTTCTTGTGCATCGCGTCTTTGAATCATCTATAATGTTCTATTGATAATAATAAATGATACAAACTGAAAGAAATCGATAATAAATTTTTAATTAATAAATTTTATATATCATATTCGCAGAATCAAATATTTATGCGAATATTTGTGTACGAGACACGTATATTTTAATTAATAATAATTAAATTGATTGAAAATGACAAAATAGCAAAGAAGTCGGACATCATCCGACTTCGTTGCAATTATTGCAGTTATAAAATTTAACTATTATCATTAATACGATAATTCATTTAATTCAATAATTCATTTTTTAATTCATTTTTCACGATAATGTATCATGCGATTTAATTATTGGATTTTAAAATATTAAAAATAATAGAAATAAATATTTCTTTCGTTCAAAAATATATGAAATTTTATGCGCAAGAAGACATTTCGCGACAGGCAGATTTCGGAATCAAAGCAATAGATTTTGAACACTATTTTTGTATTTTTCGAATATATACTTTGATCAAGGAATCGCCTGAGGTTTATTTCCATTAATAGTTTAATTAGATTCATTGATTATTAAATTTTAATATTCATATTGTTATAAATAATTATAAATAAATTCCTTTTTCATCATTGATATTTTTATTTGTTTAATATTAAATTTTCAAAATTTTTTATTATTAAAGATTCATTAAAGTAGATTCATTTATTTAAAGCTTATAAAACAGAAGTACATAAATTAAAGAATATTAGCCCGTTAGAAAAAAAATTCATTGAAATTTTTTTAGCTCAGGATTTTCAGATTTAACCCCTTCCGTGTCCATTGCCAGGATCTCATTCACGTGCCCAGGTGCTACTTGGATGAGAGAAAGGCAATGGGTACGATGACTTTAGTTTATAAGTTTCTAATAATTTTTCAGCGACTGACGATGCGTTAGTGAATCGTGCGCGACGTATTTTCCACATTATGTATGTATGTGGTTAGGCTGTGGAATTGCGTCGTTTCAAACGCTAATCTATTCACAATTATTAATCATTATTATAATATAACATTTACGATAGTAATTTTAGCCTTAATCTTATTATTTCACATTATAATAATGATATTAAAATTTATACCATCTATCCTGATTAACAGGATCATTTCTTTAGAAGACACGTATATTCTTTCGATTTTAAATATTCGCAATTGGAATCGAGACGTACACGAGATTTTTTCGTGATTCACGCAATGGTCGCTAGCCATCGTCAGTCGATTTCAGGAAAATGGTACGTAAAGTTAGAGTGTGAAAGACGTATGCCAAGCTCGGGTGTCGGAGGCGTCCCGGGACGCTTTCCCTAGTGTAGGCTCTTTGCGCCCGAGTGTTATGCGTGAGAATCGTTGGAACGAATGTGTTGGTGTGCCTGTTTTGCCAATTTTTAAATATAGGGTTAGGCAGGATAGGTAGCATACTTTCTGGTGCGAATGTTAGTGGATAAGTAGGTAGGGCCGGGCAGGTTGTCACAGTCTCCGCTCGGGTAGGCGCGTTTTCGCGTGACAACCTGTTTCAGGAAATGCAATTTGAAAAGTGGAGGATGAAGCTGGAAAAGAGGGAAGCGTGTCGCTCTTCTCTGGCTTTGTCTATCGACTTTTCGAATTCCGCGGTCGCGGTCGCGATTTCTTCTCGAAACGAACGTCGCGCTCGAGATTCCGCGCGTGTACGGGCAACGATCATTGCGATCGTTGATCGTCCATGCGCGCTTAGCTTCCGCGATTTAGTTTTTTTTCTTTTTTTTTTCTTGACTCGCGAATAGAGAATCTCGAGCCTAGATTTAAGTTTCAGCGGGCATCGCGCCCGAAGGAGGAAGACCGAAGAGGCCCGACAAACTGTCACGAAGAGGGCTGCAACGAATGGCTTCTCATTTTTTGGATCTTGTTTCTCGGGTCCAAAGAATGGGACGTCATTGTTACTATCTTGTCACTGTGCTCATTTTAGCAATACGTAGTGTGTGTTTTTGTATCTGGCCGATGCATGCGGGCCCATCATGTAATTTTAATGGGCAAGTCGCGATTTTTGAATTAGCGTTGCGGAAAAATAATAATCGCGTTTGCTGTAGCGTTGCGTGTTAAAATATTAATTGCAATTATAATTTTTTTATTTAAAATTTTATTGCAAAAATATTAGTTTTCATTTAATTTCTTTGAATTCAATAGCTTTGAATTCATAGTAATAATAAATTTGTTAAATTAAAAATTAATATTATTGTTTTCTTTTGCATTTTGAAGTAGTGTTACGTTCATACATTCGCGTTTTTGAATTAGTGTTGCGTATACAATTGCCCAATGCCCTTCCACGATCACTGTGGAAGATATTCCTGAATCATTTAATGCAGTTGAAAGAGCTGCGTAAGAATGGTTGAATAACGGCAGTCTGATATGGCTGTAATGAACTCGTCATTATTAGTGTTGCGTACAATTGAATATGAGTGCATAAATTAATATTAATAGAGTTGCGTAAATAATAACCACTTACCTAAGCATATATGCTATCAGGAATCTTCATTTTTTTCTTTTTTTTTTTTGTTGATTAAGAATTACATTGCAAATATATTGGAGCACTCTTCGCGATTTGTTTTATAAATTTAGTGTATTAGTGTTGCGAAAGAGAAAAAATCCACTCACGGTTTGTTCGGATTTATATCGAGTGGATGAATTTGATAGCCCTTCTGGCTACTTTTTTCTTCTTTTCAGCATCTCCTTGTAAACGGAACATTTGTTACTGAAAATATTATTAAAATTATATAGCAAGAATTTATTGTGATTCATATAAATTAAAATTAAAAAATTTTTAATTTTCAAAATTATAAAAAATTATGAATTACTTAACAACATTTTGATGATCTGTTTTTTTCAAGACATAAGTTTTTTTTTTTTAATTTTTGTTTTAATTACTAATCTTATAATTGAGTTTGTTACAGGTATGAATTGAAGAAGATGAATAAAAGAAAAGGGATTTGATCTTTATTTCATGTAAAATCATTATCTATCGTTGAATCATATTAATTTTTTTTCTATATTTTGTTTCAGAATCCATTCAGCTTTGGACAAGCTTTGGAAAGTAATAGAAAGAAATATCTTTATTAGATTTAGATTTTTACATAAGTAGGATCACAGTAGACATTCGATCATTTTGATTTAAATGTCAACTTTGCTCTTCTTTGCAATCTTCCTCATATTGTTCTCAAATTCCTCGTCACTTATTCCCATTCCTCAATGATTCATTTATCGTTTCTAAATTCTTTCGTTCTACTCTTTCTTCCATCAAATTCTTGGATACTCGACTGGCTACTTGACTGGCCATCAATAGTCATTGTTGAGTATCTGAACATTCTCAGTTGCATTTTATTTATGTATCTTACATATAGTCTAGAAAATATAGGTAGGAATTATAAAAATTATAGGATTTTTAATAGGCATCAAATTTATAGTTAGGAAGGAATATTGAGTGTGATTGGATGTATTATTTTCAATTAGAATAAGATACGAGTGAATATTTTATAAGAAAAAATTGATGAAATGATGTGTTTATGCATGCATAATCAAAGATATAAATTAGATAAATGAAATAATGGTATTAGACAATTAACGTAGTGTAATGCTTTGTGGGATGCTTATTTCGCTTATTTTTTCCCCCCTTTTTTTGTGCTTTTTAACTATCAATTATTTTTCATTTTCGTGTAGATGAAAATGTGAAATATTGATCGAGCAAAATGTACATCTTAATATAAATTTAATTTTCAGGTTTAGTTTTCCACACAGGTTTTCTTTACGACTCCTTTTGTTATTTGTTTTGCGCAACGATCAAAGATTTGAACGTTTTGCAAACGTATATCGAAAGGAGTGAATGAATTTTATGTGAAAATAATTTTTTGCGCAAAAGGAGGGAAGGATGGAACATGGCTATGATGAGTCTCCAATCTGCAGCAATCTCCACGCGGTGAGACCTGGGTAAATATTATTTGATATACTAATTATATCACAAGTGATACAATTAATAATTTTATAGAAAATAATATTAGCTAATTGGCTGCAATCGCGATTATGTTTTTTTATTAATTTTTCTAAATTTTAATTATTTTTTTAAAATCTTTATTTTATTATTAGTAAAACGTAGAAATCATATTAAAGGGCATAAGAAACATTTTTTGATAATCGGTATTTCAGAACATGCGTCGATAAGATTATAAAAAAATATGTCGCATCAAGTTTGTTCTTTGTCTTTACTTAGAGGATAAGTATTTCCAGAAATATAATTGAGCGACATCTAGTGAAAATTTTAAAAAATTGCAAGGATAACTGGTTTCCAGTGATATTGACTAGATAGCGCTCGTGTATGATTTTTCATAGGCGCGTTTACAAAATACTTAATGGAGAATTAAATATCTAATATAGATAATCAATTCGTCATTTATTTTTAATCTTAAACATTTATACAATTTATTTAAAAATCTACAATTGAATAATTAATATATATATTCGTCGGTAGTATAACAACACGCATAATATTGCAATTTCTACTTTTTACTACTTAGGTACAATGATTGTATTCACATTCCTTAAGTGATAGAATATTTTACAATAAAATTGTGCGTAGTACACCCTGTATAGAAATTGTAATTTCCACGCTTACGACGGATTATGTATGTTATGTATTTGGCCTTCGTGCAGATGCATCGATAAATCTAAAATATTGCTTTCAAGTGTTAAATTAAGGCACTTATAAAAACCATGATAATAATAATAATTAGAGCAAAGAATGCATCTCTGCAACGTAAGAAAATATCGATAATCAAATCATTGCGTGCAAGTCTTCATCAAGAATAAATTCCTTTATAAAACTCTTATTATTTTAATCAGTCGATCGATAGGGAAAGCTTATCACCGGTAAAGAAAAATGTTCCGAATATATCTGGCCATATTATCTGGCTATTGCTATAAACTCATCATAATATTCAAAAATATTATCGCTAAATCATAATTTCAGTCTTTTTCAATATACTACATCAACTTTTTTAACCGATCTGTTAGAAAATCATTTCAAAATCATTATCTAAAGAGATCAGAAGACAAAGGTACACGATGATTCACTAGAGCAGTGTTTCTCAATCTATAAATCGCCTCGTATTACAATTTCTTTTAACTTTTAATCGTAATGTGATCAAATATATACGTAATTTTATCTACATAATTCAATCATTCCAGTTATTACTAGATTTTTAAAAATTTTATATTACGAACATACGAATAATTAAAAAAAGTGGCGAAAAGATCGAGAAACTCTGCATTTGAGCCTCAAGTTTTCGCGATAGATGTCGCGTCGGAGTTATGTCTACAATTGCGCAGATCCTCTCCACGCGGAATCGAATCCGCATGCGGTATCCGAATCCGAGTCGTTGTTCTGCTGCGTTTTGGAAGCTGCAGAACTGACGGCTGTCGTGGAGGTTGGTCGACGATGCATCTGTTGACTCGATCGAACTTTCCCTTGAAGAAGTGGAGTGGTCGGTTGACTGGCAGCTTGGTGCTCCCGCAACGAACTGAAATCCTGAGCACGGCGACTTCTTCTTTTCTTGATAGGCGCGTACTTTGGTGGCGGCATCATTTTTTGATCCAACTAACAGGAAATTTGAAAGAATTTTTTTTAATTTTCATAGTATTTTTTTTTTTTTTTTTTTATAACCCTTGGACGAAGTTTTGACAGCAATAATATCACAATAATTATTCTTATTTTTTAAACAGATTTTAAATATACCGCTATTATTTGTAATTATTCGTATCACGTATACTGCGATCATTTTGAAATTAGAAAATAAATATTAGAAAAATATCCGTATAGAGACGATGGATTAAAAACGAAATATTATCTTTCTTAAAATAATTTCTCTGCGTTAAACGAGATTCGTCGCATAATATTCATGCGTCGAAGAGAGGAGGGATGAATGGATGGATGTGGTGGTATCGGTGCTTCGTCCAAGGGTTGAATAATTATAGAGGGTTAACCAGTGAAGGAGGAGGGATGTGTGTGTGTGTGTGGGTATCGAGCAATTTTCGAGATCGCTCTTCCTTTCTCCTCTACCTGCACATTATCCGCCGATCCCCAACTCTTGTGTATCTTCTCGTGGTTGCTGCTGGCGCTGCTAGTTGCCACACCCAGGAACTGGCTGAACGCTTCCGTCGTACGTTTCACGCGTACGTTCAGCGAGCCAATACGCAGGAAACCAAGATCTTTCTCTGCGTGTTCAACCAATCATCGTGTTACCGCTTTGCAATCATCCTCTCGCGCGCACTCCCTTCGAACTTTTCTCTTTTCTTTTCTTTTTTTTTTTTTTCTTTTTTGGTGAACTTGTCGAAAGGATACTTTTTCTTTTTTTCTTTTTTTTTTTTCAAATGTTTTCAAATTTGAAATATTTTGTTTGTTTCAATTTATAACGTGTGGACACGTTATAAAGAGATAATTGAAGTCGAAATATTAATAAAAGTTATTAAATATATTAGTAGAAAGAAGTATTTATACATTGTGTGTACGTTTAAGTAGTAGTTCGAAAGACAAGGATTTGGGAAAATTTAATTATCCAGTTTATAAATAATATAAATTGATCGAGTTAATGTTAATATTTTCTACTTTTTCTTGTATAATCTCGTTTTCAAATTATTCGACAAGTTTACCTTCCTTTTTTTTTTTTTTTTTAAATTGTCTTTTTGCATTTTTTATGTTGCATGCATCTACCGTGAAGATATCTAGGATTGAGTCTAGGGATAACTAGATAATAGGGAATACTATGAGTCTCTCTTGCTTATATATATCGTTTTCATTTGGAGATTTTTTTTTTTTTTTGATATTTACATAGGAAAATTTTTAAAAAATTAGACAAAATTTTTGTTAATTAGAGAGAGAAAGAGAGAGGTTTTTCAAGTAGCTAAAAGAAAAATCGTGTAGATATATTTGTAAGATATAGACCTGTATAGGAGATAGATGCATAAGTTTGGGAGGAATGATTGTGAACATGGAGAAAATTGGTAGAAGATTGGTAGAAGCATTTTTACAAGTTTTTCTTTTGAATTTTTGAATCTTCCAATTCTCCCTTCCAATCAAAAAGATCATCCTGTATCGAAAATAATTTCTAAATAAAAGTGCTACGTTACCAATATTCTAATTCTTTTTATAAATTCCCATTTTCGTTCTAAAGAGATAATACTGTGGATAGAAAAAAATAAAATAAAATAAAATAAGGTTTAAAGAAAATTCTACTACTAAAACCATTCTACTACTAAACATCGACGTGTATATACTACTTCACAGAGCTGGTCGATGCATGCACTAACTAACTACCAATTAAATTAGTAAAAATCGGATTCCATGCGGATTATTTCTTACCTGCATGCTTTTTCCTTGCTTTTATTTCTGAAATAAAATAGAAAATCATTTGAGACTGTTTTTGTGGAGATAGGGTTGGAATTCGAGGAAGAGCAAGGATTAATTAATAGACACGGATACTATATAGACAGAATTAGTCATCGTGGTTAGAAGATGTTAGAACGACAGCTTGTGCTTGTATTTGAAAATTATCGTTATTGGTTAATTACGATATAGAAGAGCTCTAATAATTTTCAGTGCTCAATAATAATGATTGAACGATCCAATAAATTCAAAGTTATACGAAAAAATACTCGATCCTTTGGAAATGACAAACAGATGCGACAAGTTTTGCGAAAATTTTTAAATAATTCACGTTTTTTGAGTTGCGTCAATCGAATAAATTGTCTCGATTAAAAATTATTTTCTCATCGAAAGTTGAGAGAAATCGATGTAAAATTATCAAGCACCGATCCGAATACGAACTCTTTCCGCGGTAAACGAGTAGTCGAGCGTTCATTAAAGACGATTAAAAATTGAACGGAGAGATTTTAATCCGATTGAAAATTCGCGTTATCGTTTTTGCATCATTATCCGCGAGATCGAAGGTGTCAGATTCCATCGGATCTGAGAGTTTGAATCGATTTGAAAAGGTAAAACTTTCGAAAATAATCTTCGACGGTATATTTCGCTAGGGAACACTAGGTTGCGATCCGCTAGGGGACACCAGATTGAAATTTACTAGGAAAAACGCTACATTGCTACGTTTATCGTTTAAGCTAATTTAATTTTCTTAATTATCTCGTCACTTTGAACACCAGTGTCCACCAGCCATAATTCTCTAGACAGCTTTACCCTCAAACGAATTCAGAACCCTCAAGATCGAAGAGAAGCGAACAACTTGTGACGTGTGTAATTAAAGCGAATATTATAACTGTTAATTCTGAAATTGGCTCGTCGATCTAGTGAATTCTAGGTGCAACGCGTGGAAATATGTGGAGAATGTGGGGAGTCTAGGGGAAAATGGGTCGAACTTGTCATGCTTTTCGACTCGCATGCTTTTTATTATGTTACAAACTAAACGCGCAACTGAAAGTGACAAAAACTGAAGAAAAAAAAAAAACATCGACTCATCATTATTAGCCGGCGATACGTGTATATGTGTGTGCGTGTGTATATGTGTGTAAGAGCTCGAATTCTTTTTTTTTTTTTTTTTTTCTCCTCTCTCCACGACTCTCCCCGACGTCAACATCGTGTTACGCGATCGGCAAAGAGCATAAACGTGTAAATCGTGCGAGATAAAATCGCGAGGCTGTTATACAATAGGAAACGTTCACACACCGCCGGCTATGGAAGGGTTAAAGTCACATACGTTTCTACGGTGCAAGGAGTGTTTTCAGGTACTACTGCCACTTCGATTGATCGTTCCCGTTCTCGAATCGAGGAGCAAATCTTTTTTTTTTTTTTTAGGAAACAAACGCGAGGAATTATCTCGTTATTTCTTTTTTATTTTTTTTTTTCTTTTTTCTTTTCTCTTTCGCCCTTTTTTTCGAAACACGCGTTGCGTCAAGGCTTCGAGAGTATCGCAACGTGAGAATACCACGCGTAATATAAATCGTTACACAAAGTGTGATTCTTTTTTTTCTTTTTTAATCGTGTCGAAGTATTTGTTAAAAGCGCAACAGTTAAATGACGACAACACACGACATCGTTAAATGATGTATATATATATATAAAAAAAAAAAAAACAAATAATAAATGATAAAAATCCACGCGATAATGCAAATAGTCACATCTTTTGTATATGTGTTCTACAGAGAGCGATTAACAGAGTTGGGGAAATTAATTTATGATACGTAAATTCGTATATACAATATTATTATTTACGATATATTATTTTTCCAAAAATAATATATTTTTTAAAAATATTTTACGCGTTTTTGTTCGAAATCATCGTTCCTTTTCGATTCGGTTTCCAGTCTTAATCGAAATACAATAAATTTCTTTCAAAGACGATTTCGAATAAGAAATTTTTAATTTTAAATAACATATGACGTTATGAAATATACATTTGTTTACGAAAAATATACACTTTCTCCAATATTTTCCCCAGCTCTGTCGATAAGAACGTCACAAGAATACGTATTATACATCGATTAATATGCAATTCACAGTATCGAGAAAGCGAAGATTCACGTGATTCACAAATTTCGGGAATGAACGGGTCCACCATATTCTCGTCGAATATCAATCAATCAATCAATCAATCAATCAATCAATCAAAAACAAAAAAAATAAAAAAAAATAAAAATAAAACGAAAAGATATATTCCCGCCCTCCTGGGTTAAAATTCTTGAACCAAAATTAAAAAAATAAAAAATAAAAAACCCTAGAGGCCCTCGTTAAAAAAACATCTCCAAAAGAGTGATCGATGACAAATTTAAAACCACCATTTCGGATCATTTTAACCAAAGTGGGCAAAAGCCAATTATACATTGTAAGAGTTAAATATTTTCTGCAATCTCTCTGTTTTCTTGGGATGGACCCGCGGATTCTCGCGTCAATACTCACGTCAGCGTCGACAAAAGTGACAGTGTTCATACGTTACTCTAAGGTGCGGCTACTTTAATCTTGCGACACAAGCGCTTTACTACTTTAGCAGAGGTGTGCTTCTGAACTTGCCTGAGCGTAGCGGCAGCAGTAATCCCTACAACAGAAGAATACTTCCAGAGCCCCGATACTCACCGAGAACAGAGGACAGAGGACGAGTGGAGGACAGAGAGAGATAGAGATAGAGATAGATAGAGATAGATAGATAGATAAAGAGCCCGAGAAACCATATTACGCCGCATTCTGTTTCGATGGTGTGTGGTGGTACACCTGCCTTTACCACCTTCTCTTCTCCTTCTTCTTCAAAGATGGGAGTTGGAATTAGCTTTTCGAATTTTCGAAGCAAGCGCTCTCTCTCAAGTTACGCGTGTAACTTTCGATTCTGCTGCGTGTTATTTCGTGTTTATACGTGGATTGATTTTCTCTGATCATGGTGATAAAAGTAAGTGGAGGGAGGGATATTTCTTTTGGGGAGGAAAATTTTGTTATCGTGGACGGCATAATGGTTTTATTATTATTATTTTTATTATTATTAAATGATAATAAGATGAAGGCTTGGAAAAGTGAAGGAATATTTTTTTTTATATTTTTTTCAAAAGAAAAGATTGGCAAAGATTGGTAAAGATGAGACGAAGATGATAGATTTAATATCTATTTATTTAGAGTGATTGTAGATAATTAAAAAAAAAAAAAGGAAAGAAAATAAAGCAAAACTACCAATTACAAAAATAATCTACTTCGAAATATCCCAGACTAGCAAGATTGTATATAATAATAAAAATCGATGAATTTAGAAGGAGGAAATGACAAAAGATGGAATGCAAAACTTTATGGTTAATGGCACGCATGCTGGACAAACTAGGAAGCAAAACGTCTTTCGAGAGAGAAAAGACGGGGACATGCGGGGAGGAAGCTGACCAATGAAAAAGTGAAAAAAGACGAGAGGACTGTGAGAACAAGAACCAAAGAAGCGTATGAAAGCTGTGCAGCAAATTGCGGTGTACCTTGGTGAGCTGTAATATAATTGCTCTAGATCGAGCATATCTGGTGATATTTTATCGTACCGTAACTTCATTTCCCTAGATATGTGGTATATTTTTTTCTAGGAGGGGAGGGGGAGGAGGATAGAAAATTAATCATCATTCAGGTCGAAACCTGATGATTTTTCGAAAAGGAGGATAAAATATTTTGGTTTCGATCTTTTAACTCTTTGCGAACGAATTAAGCCTCGTTGACGATCCTAGTGAATTTTTTCTTAGTCTTATAAATAAGAAGTTGTTTTCACGAAGTTGTACAAAAATTTTAATACACTTTATTGACACGATAGAAAAATTAATATTCTCATTAATTTGGAAGCGAGAGACCCAATCCGTTTACCAAGAGTTAAAAAGTTTATCTAAAACTATAAGGAAATAGAATAAATATTGATCGTTCAAAAAAATCGAAAATAACTCGATTCAATATCTACTACTACAATTACACGTTTACAACTTTCCAACTTCCTTTAATCTTCCTCGTTTTGATTCGACGAAATCAAAGAATCGTAGAATCCCCCACATTTTTGAAATTACGACACCGAAAACATCAAACAATAATAATACAAAACCTTTCGTTTAAGCCGACTATCTAACCAACAGTGTTCATTATCAACCAGGAGCAGAGTCGTAACTGCGACGATATCCCGCTTCCGTACGTTTCGCAACGATTTTAATCGAGTCGGGAGGAAAACACGGGCCGGCTTTTAAAATACAATCGAAACGACAGGGGAATCCCCCCCACCGTTACAGAGGGATACACGACAATACGTGGCAAGCCACGCTTTCCCCCTCGAGTGTGTGCTCGCCTCTTAATATCGCGTAACTATAATCGTTCGAGGCGACAATGCTATCGTCCTCTCCTCGTTCCACCCGATTTCTCAAAGGATTTCTCTCCTGATCGAACGGATGAACACGGATTCAAGTAATTGATTTAATAAACGAGAGTTATATTCTTTTCCACGAATCGTGTAATTCGTTATTATATGAAACACCCATATGCAGAGTATAATTGTGCAGGGCTGGAGAAAATAGATTTTTGAACTAACTGTGATGTCAGCAATGTGAGTTTCAAATAGAAATAATTTTAATATGAGAAAGGACGAATACGTAAATATATATTAGATATCTAATAATAGTTAGTGGTCTGCGTGGCGCTAGTGTCGCCGTTTTCATTAACGTCGCGTTACATTTTTATTATTTTTGATTCTCAAAAATGTAGAGAATTTTTATTTTTTAATTTATCATTTCGATCCTTCTCTAGTTCAGCGAACAACAGTTTGAAATAGAAATAATTTGAATATGAGAAAAGACGAATACGTAAATATATATTAGATATAGTATCTAGTAGTAGTTAATGGTCTGCGTGGCGCTAGTGTCGCCGTTTTCATTAACATCGCATTCTATTATTTTTGATTCTCAAAAATGTAGAGAATTTTCGTTTTCTTCTCCAGTTCCGCAAACAGTTCTCTCGAGTTCCAACGAATATAGAATATAAAAGTTTTTTTGGGGAGAGAAAAATAAAAAAAGGAATAATTACTCTCTCGAATATTTATACGAAACTTTGACGCGTCTCATTTACGGCGTTGAATATCTCTCTCGATCGTAGGGTACGATAATGTAATCCCATTTACGACTCAATTATCGCGTTTAACATGCGGCTTATAATAATAAATAACGCAACGTGCGTTCGTTATTTTTCGTTTCCTCACTTTCGATATTTTCAACGATATTTTCTCAATTTTCTTCTCTTTTTTTTTTTCTCTTGCTCTCAGAGAATTTTTTTCTCCCCTCGCACGAAACGAACAGTACTTACTGCGGAAGGTGTCCTGACTGACAGCGGCCTCCTGGGAGACCAAGTATTGTCTCGCCTTCTTCCCGCTATAGTCACGTATCTCCTGGTTCGCGGCTGTGAATAAGTAAGTGAAAAAAGTAAATGGGATATAGAAATATTCGGACTCTTCCGTTTAGAGCATCTCTGTTTAAGAAAGTTTATCGTTCGTTATCGAACGAATAATTTTGAAGATTTTCGTAGAATATTTAGTGTCCAAAGTTGGCAAAAGTTAATTAATAATTAAATAAGAGACGTGTATATTTTTTTGGAAATGGACACTTTTTACTTGGACTCTTGGAATCCAGTCATCAATGGAAAACAATTCGAGTAGTTATTTTTCACTAGAGACACCGGCATCGAAAGTGTTGTTCGCTTGAAGGTATTCAGGTATTATCTAGATTTTTTCTTTTTTTTCAACATTTCATCGTACTCACCGTACACTTGGACCAACAAGTTGAAGATATTCTCATGATCGAACTGCATCGCGATATGTAACGGCGTGTAGCCCTGGAAAATTGGATGGAATAATGGAAATTAAACGAGCCTGCAAGATTTTCCATAAGATTTTTTTTTTTACATAAACGGGATCCACGTAACGAGGATCGAATCCTTAAATAAACGAGCTCCGCGGGAAAATGTTTCGTTCCATCGATGGCTTATCGCCTTCCCATTTTCTCTGGGATGGAACGACGATGGAGGAAGAAAGGGAAAAAGAATAGAAAAGAAAATGGAAAAACCGACCGGTGAAGGGAAGACAATGAGGAATTAATGACATCTTATTATGAATATCACTCGGTAGCGTGCGAATCCCCCAACAATATTATCTTGCTCGCCTTCCCGTACACGAGATTGAAACGACTCGTGTGGATAAATTGGCGCACGCATGAATTATCTCTCAAGATCCCTCAACAAATTCGCTATTATTATATTATATCTTTCTTAAGCGTGGAATTTCTTTTTTTTTTTTTAATTTAAAATAGTAAAGAAAAATGGAATATTTTATTTTTCTACTTGGAAAATTGTGTATCGAGTAATATCGATGGGCAAGATTCTAGGGGAAACTAGGATGAAGCAAGTAATTAATCCTTATATTAATAATCAAGAAATGAATATAACTAATTAATCAATCTAATAATTTCGAGAAAATGTAAAACTGTGTTATAAGAAGACTTTTTTTCTAAAAGATGTGAATAATCAAGATTCTAGAGAATACTAGGATGAAGCAAGTAATTAATCCTTATATTAATAATCAAGGAATAATTGATGATTAATAATAATTGATGAATCTAATAATCTCGAGAAAATGTAAAATTGTGTTATAAGAAGACTTTTTTTCTAGAAGATGTGAATAGTCAAAATTCTAGGGGAAACTAGGATGAAGCAAGTAATTAATCCTTACATTAATAATCAAATAATAACAATAAGAGTATAATCGATGAATCTATCTATATAAATCTATATGAATAATCTCGAGAAAGTGTGAAATTGTGTTATAAGAAGATGTGATCAATCAAGATTCTAGGGGAAACTAGGAATTAATCCTTATATCAGTTACCGAGGAACGAATATAACTGAATTAAATTTCTCCTTTCCTTGTATCGAAATTAAGTATGACCCTAACCTATCTCAATATAATATCTATCTAGATGAAATGAAGATGGGAGGAGGAAAAAGAGATAAGAATCGTATCACTCACGTTTACACTCTTAACAACACAGGATCGAACGTCTTTTTTTCGCGCCTCCTTGTCTGTCGACATTGAACGCGCTTCCATTGAAGAGGAGGAACGAAATAAAAAAAAAAAAAGAAGAAGAAGAAAGAGTGGACGCCGTGAAATGGCGCGGAATCGATGTTACGCGAAATCGTGGTGGAGGAACCGTTATCTAGCAATTAGTATCTCGTAGAGGTAGAGGGCGGCAGGTGAGAGAGAGCGAGAAAGAGAGAGAAAGATCATTTTTCCTGCCATCGGCGGCAGGAAACAGCTGCCAACAATTTTCGATCGTCCCGTTCGGTTTCACTCAGAGAGATATCAACAATACGCGATAAATTAATAATTCAGCAGCTCTCAGCCTCTTAAGATCTTTCGATCTTTTGAATAATTTAACAACGTGGCCCAGAAATATGATGATAAGGAGGTGCAGGAAAACTAGGAATGACTACAAAATCTTGGGTTAAGGATTTTGACTTAGCATTTTTACGTAAAATCGAAGAGGAAAATCAATTTTTACTTTTTGGCTATCTTGAAGAAAGGTTTTTTAGCGAATTTAGGTTACGATGACGCGACACTAGCGCCACTAAAAAAAGAGAGAGAGAGAGAGAAACTATTACTAACACTCATTAGTATTAGTATCCGTTTCTTCGATTATTTATTCTTACTTTTATTTTTCTTTTAACGAAAATTCTAATTTCTTATTCGTCGCACGAACGCCCGTCAATCACGGTGGTCGATAAAAAAGGATAAAAATCGCGCGGCCTTGAAATAACGTATGCAAACTCGGTACACGCGAAAGCTGGCTGCGAGCACGTAGCACGGCGTCCACGATGTCCGGGCTCGATAAGTGCGACAAATTGCGCGTAATTGTGTGCGTGCATCGATCATTATCCGATCCCCGCCGATCGATCGTTTTCATCCACGCTCCTCGATAATTTCTAAAATAAAATTTAAACTGCCCGTCTCCTCGTCCAATCTCGAAACAGATTTACAAAGGGCGATTTTATACCATTCGAAAACCCGTCTCTTTAAAACTCTTTTTAAAACTCTGTTGAAGTAAATTGTTGAAAATATTCGTTCCACGTAAAACTGGACACCGATTTCTCAAGAAAAAAAAATATTTAATTTACTTTCACGATATAATATTGGAAATCTTTCGACCCGATTAATTCTTTTAGATTAAGACAAAAATTATCTTTTCTTTTCCTTAATTCGCATAATAGTAATAAATCGTATTGGGGAAAAAAATTAATTTCATCCAACCTATATCTCTCGTCAAATCTAAAACATATATATATATAATAAATTGTATCAACATCCAGTAAACAATATTATAACATTAAACAGTAAACAGTATTAACAACATTATATATATACATAACAACAGTAAACAGAGTATTCCTCCCTGAATATATCTCTCTCTCTCTCAATAATGTTATTCCTCCGATAAACGGTGATGACAAATGCTGTGAAAACCGCGGTATCATAGGCGGTACGCCGTTATCGAAACGAGGTGCGCGCCACCGTTAAAAGAAAAGAAAGAAAGAAAAAGGAGAGGGGAGGGGGGGGGGAAGGGTGTCGTTCTCTCCGCAACGAAAGCGAAAGAGAGGGACAGAGAGGTTGGTTTGGTTCGAAAGGGTGGCTCTAATTTATCTCGCTTTAAAGTCCCCCGGCATGCGTAGGTAGGTGGGGGAATAGGAATAGGGAAATGGGGGTTGCTCTTTGTCGGAGAGTCACCCTTTCTCGACTCCAATAGCGCGCGACACGTGTGCCCTCGCGACAAGTGGCGCGACACACGCACGCTCTCCCTCTCTCTCTCTCTCTCTCACCCCTTCCTTCCTTCCTCCTCCTCCTCCTCCTCCATATTTCGTCCTTCCACCCTCACCCCTCTTTATACTTTCGACGATATTTTAAAGTAGCATTGTAGCCCCCGACACCGAGAGGAGTCACCGAGACAATATCGCGCAGTCACCACCCCCCCTTCCCCTTCCCCACCCTTTCTTTTTTTTTCTGTTCCTCTGACCCGCTCTCGTCTCGTCTCGTCTCGTCTCGTTTCGTTTCGTCTTCTTTCCTAGGAGTAGGATTTTTCCCTCTTCCTCTGCCTCTCGGGAGTTTTCGCGCGCGTTTGGCGAGAGGGAGAGGGGTGGTGGGGGGATGGAGAGAGTTTGGGAAACGGGACAGCTGCCGGCCACCAATATCGCACACGCGTATATCACCCGTTGAGGATTTTCCATTTTAATATTTTTCCTACATTCGAGCCGCCTTTACGAGGAGTTTAAATCATAACGGGGGGAGGGGGGAGGAGGCGCTTCGTGCGGCCGAGGTTCCGACATTTTGTATATTTCGACAGCCCTTGGATATTGGCTCTTATAAGAATGTGGATTCTATCTTTCTTTTTCTTCTTTTTTTTTTTTTTTTTGTGAGCGAGATAGATGTATTTCCTCGGGTATTCCTGATTTTTTTTTTTTTTTAGAGAAGTTTCTTCGGAGGCGATTCAATCACGAATAATTCGACAAGTATTTTTATTATAGGGTGAGAATGGTATGTATTTGTAACTTTTGAAACTTTTTCTTTTTTTTTCTTTGTTTGATAAATATTAATTATTTATCTTATAAACTTTTATCCTTATTTCATTAATAATTATTCATTATGAGAATTTTTTTATTGTGAAAAAGGATATTATTCCTTTAAGATAAGAAAGGATAAGGTATAAAAAGGAAAGGAATTGAATGCAAATGGATCATCTTCAAGAATAATAAAATGAGAAATATATATATATATATATACTGTATCGAAAACATCCTGCTTCAAATTTCTTTGAATCCTGCTTACACAATAATAAATGTGTAAATATCAAATAAACGAAGAATATTATAATGGTCCAGTTTTTGAATTAAATTAAACGTGATTGAAATGAGTCAGTATACTTTCCAGTATATTACGATAATCAATGTACAAATGTCAAGTAAATCAAGAATATTATATTGTTTCAGTTTCTGAATTAAGTTAAACGCGATTGAAATGGGACACCCGGTATAGTTTCCACAAAATTAAACAAAGAATATATCAGAAATGTCCTGTTTCAGATTCTGAATCCTAGTTACACAATAATAAATGTACAAGTGTCGAATAAACGAAGAATATTATTCTGCTCCAAATAAGTCACTCAGTATTTTCCACTTTAATTAAACTGCATTCGTTTGAAATGGATCACCCGGTATAATTATTCGTAATAATAATATTTTCCACAAAAATAAACGAAGAACACTATATTATTCCAGTTTCTAAATGAAATTAAGTGCGATTGAAATGGGTCACCCAGTATACTTTCCACTCTAATTACGCTGCATTCGTTTGAAATGGATCACCCGGTATAATTATTCACAATAATAATACTTTTCACAAAAATAAACAAAGAATACTATATTATTCCAGTTTCTAAATGAAATTAAGTGCGATTGAAATGGGTCACCCAGTATACTTTCTATCCTAATTACGCTGAATTCGTTTGAAATGGATCACCCGGTATAATTATTCACAATAATAATACTTTCCACAAAAATAAAGGAAGAATACCATACTGTTCCAGTTTCTAAATGAAATTAAGTGCGATTGAAATGGCTCACCCAGTATACTTTCTATCCTAATTACGCTGCATTCGTTTGAAATGGATCATCCAGTATAATTATTCGCAATAATAAACATAATAAATGTCGAACAAACTATACTGCTCCAGCGTTCTGAATCAAATTGAACGATAAAAATGGATCACCCAGTATACTTTTCACTCTAATTACACTGCATTCGTTTGAAATGGATCACTCAGTATAATTATTCGCAATAATAAACATAATAAATGTCGAACAAACTATACTGCTCCAGCGTTCTGAATCAAATTGAACGCGATGGAAATGTATCACCCGGTATGCGGGAGGGATACCGCCGGTGTCTCGAGAGTCTGGCTGTGGGATCGGCATTGTCGTTGGCTGTCGTACGCCCGGCAAGGATGCAGGCGCCACACGGGCGGCTTACGGGGCCCCCGTGGGGAACGGGGCACCGTTTTTTGCGGGGATTAAATGCGAGCCGATGCCGCGATAAGCCGTAGAAAACTACGCTGGAAGCGGTACCGGTGACAGATTACGCTCGTGACTACGGATCCGCCACGTACCCGGCGACATCTTGCGTTCGACATCTTGGATCGATTTCGTACGATTTGTCTATCTATCCATCGCTTGAACCAATAATATTCGATAAATCGTCTTGGGGGTTGAGATTCTGAGAAATACGTTTTGAGAATGCAACTTCTTCTTTTTCTTCTTTTTTAACGATTGGAGGATATTGTCGCATGATTTGTATGAGAAATTTGTATGAGGATGAGTTAAAATCTTTCGAATTAAACATCAGTGATTTTGTGATTAAAAATACGAGTTAAACGAGGGAAAATTTTTAAAATTTTCTAAAACCGAAGAAAATTCTTTTACATTAAATCGATAGCAACTTTTTAATTATTATTCGACGCTTTCGTATATACTTAAAAATTCCATTATCTTTTTCCATTTATCTTCGATTTCGATTCTAACATTCGATAAATCTCCTTCACATTCGACGAGAGTAAAATTAAAAAAAAGAGAAAAATTAAATCTCGAAAAATGTCTCTTTAAATCTTTCTTCTCGAATTCACGAACGAGCCGTCGTTTAAGCACTTGGCTTAAATTTAAAAAAAAAAAAAACTTCGTTTTGTTGCCGCGTAAAAAACAGACGCAATCCTCGGATTCGAAACAGTTGGGATAAGGCAAGGAATCGGATATTACACGGGTTGTGAAATTACGCGGGGCGAAAGAAGGAGCGGTGCAGCAACGAAGGTGCCGCGTTTTTCCCCTCTTTTTTTTCATTTGGCGGGGGAGCGTTAAAGCGGTCGAGGGGGACGGGGAGGGGGGGGAGAGGGGGGGATAAGCCGCAGAAAACTACGGCGAGAGTGGTGGCTGTGACAGATTACGCCGTGCCGCACGATTCACCGTCTGCCGGATAAAAGGAGGGGGAAAAGGAGGGAGGGAGGGAGGGAAAAAAGAGAGGTGGCCGGATAGAGAGGATCCATTCCGGAGTGGATTAGCCCCGGGGCCGACGTTGTTGGTACCTAACACGTATACACGCGTATTTATTAAATCGAGCACTAATCCCCGAAAACAGAGAGTCTGGCGTATTTCGGTGGACACGGGAGACGTTTTAAAAGAATCGAACCTATTTTCGAACGACGACTTCTTTTTTCACACGTATATCCTTCCTTTTCGTACATCGACGGTGATACTTTTTTTTATACGTTTCGATAGATCGATCTTTCTCGAAAAGGATCTAACCTCTTCTTCTTTTTCTCTATCTTTATCTATAGTGACTTTTTGCTATTTTTTTCTTTGATTCGATTTCATGATTATACGAAATAATTTGATATTTGATTTTAAGTGACTGCATTAAATAATCTAAATAATTTATATCGTATTTTCTTTTTTTTTGTTTTAATATTTCGATAGATCTTTCTCGAAAAGGATCTAACCTCTTCTTCCTTTTCTCTATCTTTATCTATAGTGACTTTTTGCTATTTTTCCTTTGATCCAATTTCAACTCGATGAGTATACAAAATAATTTGATATTTGATTTTAAGCGACTGTTGTAAATAATCTAAATAATCTATAATCGTATTTTCTTTTTTTTGTTTTAATATTTCGATAGATCGATCTTTCTCGAAAAGGATCTAACCTCTTCTTCTTTTTCTCTATCTTTATCTATAGTGACTTTTTGCTATTTTTCCTTTGATCCAATTTCAACTCGATGACTATACGAAATAATTTGATACTCATTGATTTTAACTTTAAATGACTGCTCTAAATAATCTAAATAATCTATAATCGTATTTTCTTTTTTTTGTTTTAATATTTCGATAGATCTTTCTCGAAAAGGATCTAACCTCTTCTTCTTTTTCTCTTTCTTTCCTCTTCTTTAATGTTCTTTATCTTTATCTATAGTGACTTTTTGCTATTTTTCCTTTGATCCAATTTCAACTCGATGAGTATACAAAATAATTTGATATTTGATTTTAAACGACTGTTGTAAATAATCTAAATATTCTATAATCGTATTTTCTTTTTTTTCATATTTATAATATTTTAATATTTCAATAGATCAATTTTTCGAGAGCAAAAATGGTTGACTTCGAGAACGACCTAACCTAACTTATTTCTTTTCCCTTCTTCCATCTTCAACTTTTCTCTATCTCTTTATCTCTATAATGACACAATCTTTTTCCTATTTTTCTCCTTTGATCCAACTTCTACTTGATAATTTATACAAAATAACTTGATATGAACGCAAAATCCTTATTTTAAGTAAATTCAATCGTGCAACAACGATAACATCTTTTAATAAGAAAATCGATAAAAATTTCGAAATAAAACTTGAGAGAGAGAGAAATAAAAATGGAGCTAATCGCCTTAATTGGAGGCCCTTCGTTCGAGGGGAATAAGAAGAAGCCTTCCCCTCAACCTTCTCTTTCCCTCTCCACGAAACACACCTCGAATTTATTATTCCTAAAAATTTCCTCCCCTTCGAATCTTTTCTTTTCTTCTTCTTCTTTTTTTTTTTTTTTTTTTCGACGAATAAAAAATCCTCCTCTCAATTCGTTCCAATTATTCAACGTTAGAAGCGCTCGATCCCATCGCCCCGCTCGTCAATCCCCAACCGAGGAACGTGGTGGAACGTACGTGGTGTGCTGCGGTAGTTCAACGAGCGTTTGTCGCGAGCCGCTAACGAGCAACCTCTCCCTCCCCTCCCCTCCCCTTTTCTATCCAACCGTCTTCCCACCGCGAAGAGGGCGCTCCAGCTTATATAAGTCTTGTAAAGAGCAAAGCGGCGGACCACACACATCCGATCCTATCTCGCGAGTGCCCACCTCTCGGTGCGTTGCGCCATTCCCTCCCGAATGCAACCCGCACGAATCTCTCTCTCTCTCTCTCTCTCTCGCACGCCGACCACTTTCAGAGATCACGGTAGATAGATATCGCGTGGTTCGCGATTTATTCATTTGCTCTTCCTTTTTATCGATACCTTACCTCTTCTCTCTCTCTCTCTCTCTCTCTCTCTTTGTCTCTCTTCTGCGTTTTTATTTGTTCACTTTAGAATAATTTTTTAATTTAATTGTTAAATTGTCGAGAACGAGTACTCGATTGGGAAAGAGTATTATTATTGTGCACAGGGATTGTGATTGTGATTTTTTTTTTTTTTTTACACAGATTGATCCTTGTTACGTGTTTCGACAAATTGGTTTATATCGACGAGAAACTTACCCCGTTCTGAAGAAGAAGGCAGATTGGCAGGAGCACGTAGCCGGGAACGTAGAGAGATTAGAATAAAGAATTTTTATTAATTCGTAAAGAGAAATGAAAGGAGAGTTTCAGCAAGAATTATTTTCATTCGGTTACCGAAGTTTCGTTCACGCTCTTGATGTAATCCTTGTAGGTGCCAGCGATCAGCTTCACGATATTCTCGTCGCCGTGCTTGGCCGCCCAGTGCAACGCCGTCTGTAACACCGTCAACAACATCAACCAACATCAAACAACAAACAAGGCGAGCAACGATAAATCGTGCTCGACGATTATCCTCGAACTTAACCCCCTTTTGGCCGGGGTGTATTACCCCTCTCGTTCGAAATAAAAATTGAAGAGCCTCGTAAAAAAATACGCGAACGACGGAAATTTACGGGCGGCGAATATTTGGGAAAAATGGCGCGCGGCGGCCCGCTTGTAGACACGACGCGAGCAGCTGTAACGTATTTTCAGCCAGCCAGTGAAATATTCGCGAATTAAGCGACGGGAACGAGGTGGATGAATGGCGACGTCGGACACCACTCGAGATGGGGAGGAGGGGGGAGGGCACTTTGGGGGCAGTCGATCATCGTGGCTGAAATCTAGGAGGAGGAGGAGGAGGAGGAGGAGGCGTGGAGAATCGTTACTTTTACGATTATGGGGGAATTAATTTCGAGTAGGAGTTAAGAGAAGTTTTGACGTTTTTTATTTGCGTAGAAGAATTGAGAAAAGTGTGATAAATTGCTTTTGTATTGAGGATTGTGAAAAGTGTGTGATGCATTGTTGTGGGTGAGACGATCGGTGAGGCGACACTAGCGCCACGTGGCTGTTAACTACTGGTGTCTATGATTGTTTTGTTTACTTATATTTATGGATTTTTTAGAGTATTTATCGATCATACTTTTTTTTAGATCAATTTTTCAAGTCACGAACGAACGAAGAAAGAACACGATATTTTAGAAATTATTATGAATCAATTCTGAAATATGTTTTAGAAGTGGATTGGGAAGATGGATTCTTGGCTCTGATTCAGATGGACGGTGTTGGTTGGTCGAGTTTGAAGAATTGCAAAAATCAAAATTTGTTCTCGTCAGAGGAAAAAAGCACTCTGGATTTCGAGAGTACAAAGTAATCCCTCGAAATTTTAGATTTAGAATTTCTAATTTTCATTTTTATTCATTATTAAATTTGAAACTGTAACCACTAATCCTGCTTCACTGATTAACTAATCAACTAATTAACTCCGAAAGAAGACACATTACATAGATCAAAAAGAGCACAGAAACCACTTGCAACCACTCATTCGTATTTTTCTCCAACCCAAAAGAAAGAAAAAAAGAAGAGCAAGACTCGACAATTACCCTTAAATTCCTTACTATAATTCCCCAAACACATAAAGCTTCTACTGCATTTCACTCGTATGAAAATCCATGACAATTCACCAACGAATTCGAAGAATCGAGAAAACAATTTCCGCAACATTTTAATTTAAATCGGCCACGAGCGACGCGCACGAGAGATGGAAATAACCAAGGGGGTAAAAAAATGTTAAATAGCCGCGTTTTTTTAAATCCAAAACAGCAGCACGCGCCGAGAGCCGAGGCCGGGACGCGTGCGCGCGATCCTCCGTTTAAACGTTGAGTTATATCCGGTCTGGCTTGCTTTGACATCGAGAGTTCGTTCAAATAGCCCCGGCTATTTCCATATACCGGGTTATCCCCGACCCGGCTGGATTATTTCGAGCATATACGTTATTATTCTTTGCAAGTTAGCCGTGACGGCTCGTAAATTTAATGGCCGCGGGCAGGTCTCGCAAAAACGCGCGGACACGCGCGCGCCATTCGTCCGTCCGCGCTTAAATGTCGGTGTCGCGTGGAACCGCGTCGTATCACGACGACAGCGAGAGCGGCGTTGTCGATGCCCGGCTCCACACGCGCCCCCCTCCACCCACCCACGTTTCGTTAAACGTGTACGCGAAAATGGATTATTTCCTGGATAATCGAGCTCGATTTTTCGTGTATAAACATACATGTTACACGTTTCGGTGCAGGAGCATCAGGTGTTTTGGAAGTTTGGAAAACGAGAGAGGAATAAAGGGGGGAGGATGGATTAAGTTTTGGTTATTGGAATTGAAAATCGATGATAAGATGACTTGCATGTTCTAAATATTTTGTGTAGTTTGTTTGGTTGGGGTATCAGATTTTTGGAGAGATTTTTTTGAGATAAGTGAAGGGTAAGAAAATTTTGTTTGGTTATTAAAATAATTGAAGATGTAACAGATGTTTAGAAATTTTAAAGATTTCTTTTGAGGAAAATGAAGGATAGGAAAGTTTCGTTTGACTTTTTAGTTATTGATAATTGAAAATCGATAAGAAATATACACAGGAATATAGTTTATTTTGTATCGAGGAATCTTTAATCAAACTTCATTAAGATCTAATGCTCAGAAGAATTCCTTTTAAGAGACCAGTACTCACTTTCAATATTTTCGTACCATTATTTCATTTCTGGATCTCACAAACTTCTTCATTACATTCTATATCTAATAAAATTCCCCGTAATAACTAAATAATTTATAAAAATCTATTACACATTTATTCCCGTACCGAATCTCACAATTTCTGAATCACTCGGTCACGTTTCCGTAATCCAACAATCTCCTACATTTTACCTTCATTCCCAGAAGAAAAACCGCAAGAAAGCGGATCCACGAAGCTTCGGAAAAAGGAGAGACAGCGAGTCAAAAAAGAAAAAAAAGAAAAAAAAAAAAAAGAAGGAAAAACGAGATGTCCGTTGGCATAACATCCAGGAAGAAGCAGGATTATTCCTGGTTGTAGGGTTGTCCGCTAAGAGAGAAATATAGTATCCGCGTCGGGGGGATATAAGCAGCCGGCATGTATTTTAATTCCATAAAGTCCACGTCCCGGGGGTGGATTAAAAATAGTGTCCAGGTCTCGAGATTCGCGCTGGGCCGTCACGGAAGGTCGGACTCCGCGTCCACCTGATCCACGAGAGAGAGAGAGAGAGAGCGAGCGAGCAAGAGAGAGAGAGAGAGAGAGAGAGACAGAGAGTGCCCTCTACCTCGGCTGGACGGACCTCGTCTGCGCCGGTAGCGGTAGAGAGACAACTACTTGCAGGCCACCTCATTAGCGGCGGAAAAACTCATCCTAACGAGGCCACGTTACCTAATGACGCGCGCGCCATCTCTTTCGTGTATGCCTATTTACCCCTTGGCCGTGTGTGTGTACGTGTGGCCACGTGTGGGGTGCACCTTGTGCGCCCACTGGCCCTGTACGCGCTCGCTCCACAGCGAGCAAATTAACGAGCGGACGCACCGTGGAGGATATACGACCTCCTGCTTGATATTAGAGGCACGTGGCGCCAATACCGTTGCTCAACCTGCGTTGATCGAAATTCGAGATCGTTAAACGCTCGATAAACGGGGATTATCAGCGATATGGTTCTATTTTTGTTAAAGGAGATTTTCAAGAAAATTTGATCCGTGTTACAACGAATAGTGATATATACTCACTGTTGAAAAAAGTATTTAGAATTTTTTTTTTTTACATTGATACCACTCGATGGTAACCGATGCGGTTTGTTTCGAGATTTCGTTGTAATAAAATTATATAAGCGATGATTTATTTGGAGAGGGAGCATGGTCGAGATTATGATCTACCGTGGATTATTACGCGAACAGTTCGCAATAACGGGTTACAGAGGAGGATACAAGACCTGGCCGGACGAACAACACGGTGACATCGGTATATACAACGGATGCGGGGATGCAGATTCGAGGAAGAAGGCGCGATGAATCTCGTTTACGCGCGGCACAAAGGAACGTGGCGAATGCTGCTAATCAAGATTAGGATCGGACGCAGCGGCCGCGCTTGATCACTCTCGTGTTCGTGGAGGCGAGGAGGAGGAGGAGGAAGCAAGAATCCGGTGGTGAAATTACACGGGGAAGGGAGAAAATGAATTTTTACGGTAGCCAGCCGACTACCCTCTGAGAGAGGGGCCATCAGCGCGGTCTCCTCTACGCTGCGTTATAACGTTGCAGCAACCCGTCTACTTGCACAGCCTGCTAACGAAGTTTTATGAAGCGCGATAGCTACGCCATCCCGTCGACTTTGGCGCTCCTTAATTTGTGAACGCTGCGCGCGCATACACACCGCGCGTCGACTGCCGCGAAAGAATGGTACTACGTCGGCCGACAACCGCGATATATCTTCGCCTCCTCTCTACTCACGGTAGCCCCGTCGTCTTCTTTAGTATCTACTTCGTCATGCGTGAGAAACCTCGATATCTGCCGATTTTTCGTCTTTTCTTCTTCTTTTTTTCTTTTTTTTTTTTTTTTAATTCCATTAGTCCTTCGCTTATTTCCATTTCAAACGCTTTGTTGACAATTCTGATGCTATTTTGAAATTGAATATTGAAATTTCGTAAAAAAATAGATAACCATCCAAGACTGGAAATATTTTCGAAATTATTAATCATCTATTCGTGCAATTATTATCTTAACTACTCGTATGCGAAATTACGTTTATGAATCAATTAATTACGAGAAATAAAAATATTTTCATATCATATATGAATTCCATGCCTAACGGTAATGCATATTTTAAATAACTATGATGTGAAAATAAGCGTGTCCTTTCTTCTTTCCACCAGTGTTGGGAACAACACTATCAAAAATATTCCAATAAAAATGGGGAAAAAAACTCAACGTAACAAAACCTCTTCTTGCTCCCGTACCCAAGGTCACCTTATACGCGCGAAACTATGTACAAACCGTGGTGTGTGTATATATAGTTGTCTTCCTCCTCTGTGGATACTGATTAAGCCAGCCGGGAGGAGACTCGGCGAGGAGGAGGAGGAGGAGGAGGAGGAGAAGGTCCTCTCGCCAGCAACAACGGCAGCCAGCTACCGCGGCCTCTGATGTATGCGAGCGATACAGATATCTCGTGGAAGGAATTTGCGTTGAATTAGCGTATAATCGGCGGGCCGATCTGCTCATACGGAATCCCGCTTACACGTGTCCCGAGAGCTGTATTCTCTGCGCGAACACAATATTTAGTGGCCGTCTCCTCTCCCTTTCGGCTCCCGTGGGACCTTTCCGCTGGTATGCCCGACCTCCGTTCGTCCAAATTTTTGCACCTGGGGAGGAGGAGGGGGGAGGGAAGGCAGGGAAATCTTCGCGGCAAGCTGATTAAAAG